AACAACCATGGCATGTATGCACCTATGCAACAGTCCTGCAAGATCTGCACATGTACCCCAGAACTTACAGTACAATAAAACAAACTTTCTACATGGGTGAGAAAAAAATAAAAATAAAGAGCTTTTAACTATGAAATGGGAATTAGACAAGATACAAACCATCAGACCAGAAGAAGGTCAGATCCCAGGGAAGCCAGGATTTGCCTGATCTGCCTGGGTCAGATTGCCCTCGAGCCAGGCAGGGATTCCTTGCAGGAGGTAGGGCCTTTGTAGGGCTTCAGGGTGTCCTGGGCAAAGCTTAAGCAAAGAGTAGGGTCCACAATGCCAGAGAGTGGAAGGGAATTCATCGTGGGCCTTGGGTGCAGGAATACCTATTGCTCAGGGAGGCCCACTGTGTGCTTGGCACTTCCCAGTCACTGGGCGCACGGAATAAGCTCATTCTCGGATAAAGACACTGAGGCTGAGCTGCTGGAGTCACTTCTCCAGAGCACAGAGGTGGTCAATGGCAGAGCCACAGATCTGACTGCCCCCAGGAGGAGGTTTCTGAGGAGGGGAGCGCTCAGGCACTGCCCTTACCATCCTCTCTTTGTGGCTACATCAGAGTAGATGCTGCTGTGGCCCCAGAGCCTGCCAACTTCCTCCAAGAGGAAATGGGGATGAGGAAGAGACAACAGCTATTATTTGAAGGCACCAACGCTGTTTTGCCTTTAGTCAGATTCTGCCAGCCTCTGAAGCAGGAGAGAGCAGGTAGGAAGAGGAGAAAGGGCAGGGCAGAGACCTTCCCTGGGAAGACCTTCCCTCCTCACATGAAGAAAGAGGTTGCCCCGAACCTCCTTCTCAGCCCCCAACCTCGCCTTCCAATCCCTGTGCCAGGAGGGAGGGCGTACACTCACAAAGGTGTGCACTGTCCACACAAGTGCCTACCTGTGCAACCATGCTACAGACCATTGGTACGCATTCTCATTCTGTGGCCTACTAGCTTAACCTTCCAAGGCTCTCTCACCATTTTTTTTTTTTTTTTTTTTTTTTTTTTGTCTTGTAAGGAGATCATTGTCTACCTTATAGAATTGCTGTGAGGATCAGTGAGATCTGTAGGTAGGTAAAGCTCTTAGCCCTGGCTGGCAGTAAGTAAACAGAAGCTACTTTAGTAGTAAGAGGCCTGTGAGAATGTGAATGTGCAAGCACTACACTTTAAGTCCTGCGTGTGCACATGCTTGTGTGTGTTCATAAGGGGGACAAGCAGCAGGTAGGAGCGGGATCTGTGACTCTATTTCATTCTATCACGTGGAACAAGTAGAGGAACATTTTTTTCCGTGTGCGTCCAGAGCAGAACTATAAGAGAAGACTCCCAGCATCCAGCTCAGCGCTGCACAACAGCAGGACTGGCTGCCTCAGGGGGTGATGAACACCTTGTCCTTGGAGGCATTCAAGCAGAGGTTCAATAAATACTTGCATTTCCACAATGCTCTGGAGTTCACAAGGTGCTTCACCCACAGTACTTGTCCTAGGTTATTTCATTCACCCCCTCAGTGTGTGGTATTTTCTGCTCCATTATACAAATAAGGAAACTGAGGCCTAGGGAGAGGATCATTTCCCAAAGATACTCCACTAGTGCCTGGACTCAGAACTTGAGCCCAGGTCTTTTGGAGGCATGATATAAAGTCTTGAAGCCAGCCTAACATAACAGGTAATCCACAAGAGCCCCAGCTCCACTCCTGACCTTTGCCACTTTCCAGGCCTAGGTGCCTAAGCTGCGCCAGCAGTGGCCCTACAGGGGGATGGGTCACTAGGAGAGAGAGCAGTGGAGCCTATGTTCTCAGTCTCCAAGGCCCATTGGGTAGGCGTTGGCTCTTCGTGGGGAACCCCAGGAGACCATTTTGTGCTCCAACCGAGGACACCGTCTCCAGCCTGCCAGGCTCTGCTCTGCCTCCTGCCTGCCAGCCCCAGGGCCTAAACTTTCCAATTCCCTCTCTCCCTGTCACACACAACTGGCCATGAAGAGAAACAATGCCCCGGCCAGCATTTTCCTTGCCATCTGTCATGTCCTGTGTCCAAGACTTTCGCTGTTACTCATGTGAAGTCATACAGGTTGCAGAATCTCCATCATGGTTCCCGGCTTCCCTGCCAGGGCAATGACAACAGCTCACATCTACTGAGGCCTCACTATGTGTCGAACACTGCCCTAAGAACGTCTTTCACCTTCACAACCTCCTTATAAAGGATAATGTGGAAATCCTTGTTTGATTCTTAGTCTCCCTGCTTTTAACCCCGAGAGTGAGGCTCACCAAACTGTCCCTCTGCTTCTGACCTCCCAAGAACAGGTATCTCTCTTCAGCAGGAGCAATCAGAAATGTCTCCAATACCCTCTGCTCTACCCACAGAGCAAAAGCCATGAAGCAGACTGACCTCTCCCAACCTAGAATATTTAAAACTAGAGCACTACCTGCGCCCCATCCTGCCAGAGCAGGGAGAGGATCTGTGCTTCCTGGAAATGGGGGCAGCCCCCTCCCAGGCTGTGCTGCCCATCCACAAACCATTCCATCACAGACCAAAAAGCCCTCCCTGAATAGTGAGAAGGCTGCTGGAGAGACAGTAAGGCTTCCAGGGGGAGGGCTATGGCTGAGCTGACTTAAACAGCAGCTCTCTCCCAGCTTCAGATCAATCATCCCAATTATCCAGATCCAGTCCCCCTATCTGATCAGCGTTCAGGGCCTGGGGGAAACAATTGAGATATAGATGAAAGTGATATGGGGCCGGGCGCGGTGGCTCAAGCCTGTAATCCCAGCACTCTAGGGAGGCCAAGGCGGGTGGATCACGAGGTCAAGAGATCGAGACCGTCCTGGTCAACATGGTGAAACCCCGTCTCTACTAAAAATACAAAACATTAGCTGGGCATGGTGGCGTGTGCCTGTAATCCCAGCTACTCAGGAGGCTGAGGCAGGAGAATTGCCTGAACCCAGGAGGCGGAGGTTGCGGTGAGCCGAGATCGCGCCATTGCACTCCAGCCTGGGTAACATGAGCGAAACTCCATCAAAAAAAAAAAAAAGAAAGAAAGAAAGAAAGTGATATGGTTCTTTCAAGAAAAATCAAAAGGGAGAGGACACTAACCAGTTGACCTGACCCAACTAAGGAAGATGGGTGGCGATCCTTCCTGTAGGGCCATATTGTCCTAACCCTCACCTCCAAAGTGGGGCCACTGGTCCACCCCAAAGGTTATGTGCAGGAGCCTGTTCTATTGTTATGCTCTCAGGCACCAGCACCTCCACAGATACTCTGCAACCCATCACCCTCTGCTTGATTTCAAGGCGCGCTGGGATCCCAACCCAAGCCTGAGAGTCAGAGAGCATGGCTGGGAGCCTCTCAACAGTCACACTAGCCTCAGACTCTGGAAAGGGAGAGAAGGAACTACTGAACTCTCCAAGAGTGAGCCCTTGTAGGGCCTCATAGGGAAGGAGGACCAGGACTTTGAGAGCTGCTGGGCAAGGAGACTCCTCCACCATCTCTAGAAGAAATGCCACTACATCTTCTAAAAGCATTGACAACAATCAGGATGGTAAGTTTGATGGGGACAGTATAATATGAGCGGGGGTTCTACTAGATGTTAAGACATGGACTTTCTGACCCACAATGGAGCTAAGCACACTATGGGGTGGGTGGGTGGGGGTGTGTGTGTGTGGCCATTTCCTCTCCTCTCACCTGACAGAAAATGTTGGTAGATTCTAAATTACAAAGACTCATATTTACAAATGTCTGCCATCTCCTCAACCCTACTGTGATGTGAGGAGTGCTTATCACAGCAGGGCACCAGCACCTCTCTCCTTTGAGAGTGGCTGTGCTATGTCTCAAATAAATTAAGGGTCCCATTTCAATGAATTCACTTACTAGAAACAAACTAGGTATTTGATAATGCATGTGCTGGCCCATGTGAACCAACAGCTTCTTGGAAGGGGAAAATAAGAGTGCGAGAATTGTTTTCAATCTAAAAAGAACTAGAGGCTGCGCGCAGTGGCTCACACCTGTGATTCCAGCACTTTGGGAGGCCGAGGTGGGCGGATCACAAGGTCAGGATTTCAAGCCAGCCTGGCCAACATGATGAAACTCCATCTCTACCAAAAATACAAAAAAATTAGTTGGCCGTAGTGGCACACACCTATAATCCCAGCTACTCGGGAGGCTGAGGCAGGAGAATCGCTGAACCCGGCAGGCAGAGGTTGCAGTGAGCAAGCCACTGCACTCCTGCCTGGGCGGCAGAGCAGGACTCTGTCATAAATAAACAAACAAACAAATTTTCTTTAAAGCCTTTCTTTGGCTGATAGTCCATCCTGGAAGAGTGTGACACCCCCCTTCTCTCGGTGTGCTGTATGACATACCTGCTAGAGAGGGCATGCGCCATGGAAGGGCAGGCGGGGAAGCAGGCAGGAGATGCAAGAGGAAAGGGGAAAGAAGGGGACTTTCTAACTCATCAAGACAGCAGGGACTCCATTTTTTACCCATCACTTCCCCACCTCACCGCAAAAAGCTGGTGGTGGAATTCAGCAGTCCCCTCTCAGCACCCCTCACCACCTGAGCCCTGTCTTGGCCCTCTAGCAGCCCTCTGGATGAGGCCAACTCCCCTCCCAAGCCAGACCCTTAGAGTTGCTGAAGCAGAGGCCGCTACCCTGCTTCGTTCCCAGAGTGTGGGTTCAGGCTTAGAGTTTGTCACCAGCGAAGACACAGGATGGGAAAAGCCTTGTTCAGGTGACAGCTTGTAGGTGGCAGAGTGAAAAGTAAACCCAGGACTAAGGCCAAGATTATTTCCCCACACCTCATACTGCTATTTCGTGTGGGCATTCATTAGAGGGTCAAGAAGGTGGGAGGGGTCAGTGGGGGGAGACTATCATCATTCCCAGCATCGTTCCCTTAAGAAAAAATCAATCAACCACTCACGAGAGAGCTTTGGACCATCATCTGATCCTACATCAGGAGTGACCCATACTCCACCAGTAAAGGGAAAGAAATCCTAAGTGTCCCGCCTTTTTATTTGCATAAAATCTCCAGAAAGAACTGGTAGTATTTCTTACCTTCAAGGGAGAGCACAAGATAACTCATGGATGGAGTGACTTTTGCACCATTTGAATATTGAGTCATGTGAACACACAGTCTACTAAGAATATCCTTTAAAAAAAACAAAAAAACAAAGAACAAAAAAAAACTCTTTTCTGAAGCCCCAGGCCAGGAAGGTAGGACACTGGTTCTATTCCCATCTCTGCCACTGTGACTGCAACTTGGGGCACCTCATGTACCATCTCTAGGTGGTTTCCTCTACTGCAAAACCCGAGTGGACTGAATGAGTAATCCAAAAAGCCCCGCTATGGACCCCAATCCCTATGATGAAACCCAATCCCCAATGTGATGACATGAGGAGGTGGCGCCTTTGGGGAGGTGATTGGGATGTGAAGGTATAGCCCTCATGACTGGGATTAGTGGCCTTAGAAGGGGCTGAAGAAGCCAAGAATCCTACACTTCTACTAGGTGAGGATGCAGAAGATGCCCTCTATGAACTAGAAACCCCTCACCAGACACCAAATTTGTCAACATCTTGATCTTGGATTTTCAGCCTCTAGAATTGTGAGAAATTGTTTAAGAGCTACCTGGTTGATGGTATTCTGTCACTGCAGTCTAAACGGACTAAACGGCCCCTTTCAGCTCCAAACATCTATGATTCTAGTCTTCCCCAGCTAGATTCTAAAATCCATGGGAGGAGGTATGGGACAATTTTGGCATCTTTTTCAAAAGTCCCTTTGTAAACCCTAACTCAAGAAGGTTTTCCCCAGCTAGAAACCAACCCCTTCCTGCAACCCAGGTCTTCAGACCAAGTTGGCCAGGACTGTTCTGCATGCCAGGAGGAGGATAGGAGATGCTCGCACAGCAGAGCCTGGTAAACAGATCTCAACTTTCAGAGATCTGGGTTCAAATACTGGGTCCTGAGCTGTATGACCTCAGGCTATAGTGATTTCACCTCTCTGACCCTGTTGCCTCATGGAAGAAATAAGAACACTGACGTCATAAGGTTAAGATTGACAAACAATAACATATGAAAAGCACCTGGCACAACGCAAGCACTCAACCAATGTTAGCTTGCCTTCTCCTTCCCCCCAGAAAGTGGCTAGGGCACAGAACTGGGGTGTCTTGCATGTTCTGTCCTCAGGTTGGTTTTCTTACACAAATCCATGTGATGCGGCCATCTTGGTTTGCTCTCCTACCAATTCTGTCACTACAAATCCGACTCTATTTAGGCTGCTCACACCACTGAAGCAGGAAAAACCCTGCTAACTTGGCCAGCTTAGGGACTTTGGGGTACTCATCTTGCATTTGTCAGCAGGGGAGAAAACACCAATTAGCCTTTGGGAAATGGCACAATGGGTCTCCAGCTGGTAGGTGGGAGAACAGTGAAGGGGGCAAAGGGAGAGACGGCAAATTCAGCATTTCCCAAGGACTGGTAGAGGGGAAGATAGTGCTCTGGGGGTGCAGGGATGGAGTGTGGGGGCACTGCACATGTAGGGAGCTCAGCTACATTACTGGGGACCCCAGGCATGTAAAGGTCTCTGAGCTTTGGTTTCTTCAACCATAAAAACGGAGCAGAAAACATCTACATCAATATCTACGTTGTTGTGATGATTAAATCAGGTACTACATAGGGCAGTGTTCCATGAATATTCATTTTTCCTTCCTCCCTTTTCAGGAAGGAGACAAAGGCCTCCAAAGAGGAGGAGACATATTTACATGACTGCCTTTTAGAAAATGGACCTGCAGAGATTTAACTGATGCAGAAAAAAACCAGCATTATCACTAGAGTTGGCTGCATCACATGAGCTATTCCCAAAGCACACAGAATGAGCCACATGATGAAAGGAAGTTTTCTGTGTGGTGGGCCGATGCCTAAAAAGCATCTGAGGAGATAAACAGCAAGCTGGATCTTAGTTTCGTATTCCATGACCAAGAAACAAGTTGGAGGACAGCGGGAGTTAGTTTCTGTCTGTTAGAGGGGCAAAGGCTACCCCACAGCTTTAAAAAAAAAAAACAGAAATAGGTGCATTTTATTTAAACAATGGGACAAACGTCAGAGAACATCCCCTGCAAATCCCCCACCCAAGAGCCCACTGACGGGAAGCGGGGCTGCAGGACGCTCTGCTCCAACAGCACCATCTCCAACCGCACAAAACCCCTCACTGCCAGGGCCAGGCACCGACCTAGCCCCTCGCCTGCCTGCTTGCCTGAGAAGAGGCAGCCATGGAATCAGGGCAGGGGTGGCACAGGTAGAAAAGACGATGGAAACAATACCCATGAATATATTCAGCGTATCCTAGGGAGATAAAAACCGTCATGAGGACCAGAAGCCATCCCGGTCTTTTGTGGCCTCCTGGAGAAGCTGTGTTTGAGACCCGAGACTCGAGCAGGGATGGCTCCGGGGAGCAGGAGGGGTGCTCCTGAAGATTGGCCCTGAGGAAAGCATAGTGCCTGCAGAGGGACAGCCCCCAGCACCCTCCAGCAGGGCTCTAGACAGCAGAGCCCAATCCTGAGAGAGTCAAGAAGAGAGATGGAATGATCAAGAAAGGAGGCATTTAAAAATTAAGAAAGAAACGAAAGAAAAAAAGAAAGGGTCTGCTCTGAGGCTGAGGTATTATAGATAGATGTGGGCCCAGAGAAACCGGGTCCCAGGGTACACACATGCTGGGCGGTTTTGTCCTGATGAACTAAGAACCGTACACACAACCTTCCTGGGAGTCACGAGCAGTACACTGCAGGGCCAAGGAACCAACCAGCTCCAAAGGGACTCCCTGAGCCTCGAAGGCAGCTCTTCTAACACCTCCCTTCCTCCCAAAGGGCTCCCGGCCCTAATGCCCCACAGCCACCACACACCATCAGATTCCCATGTCAATACAGGAGCTCGTACGAGTCCATACATTTCAGCCCAAGATAGGTTATGTGGTCATAGAGTGTGTGGTTTTACTGTTCCACTCAACCCCCTGGTCCCTGGTGGCGCCTGTAAGTCCCGAGTGGGGCAAGTAGCAAAGGGGGCAGGAGAGTGCTTTCTCAGATGGAAGAACACAGGCAGCTCCTCAGGCACTTGGTCTGGGTGGAGGAGAGGCCAGGCTGCCCCAAGCTCCTGCTCAGGGCCTCAGCATCGGAACACCTTCACTCTGTTGTGTTCATCCAGGCCCAGCTGCAGGAGGCTCAAAGTAGTTGTTGGCTTGGGCGCTGAAGAGAAGAGATGTCTGGCCACATGGTGAAGGAAAACTGCAGTCACTGGGCATGGCCAGGGGCCATAAAGGGTCAAAGGCTGAACAGGAGCATCCTCAGCCCCTCAGGGCACAAGCACAGGGAACCAGGTAAAAGGATACAATTTGGGGTCATTCTTGACATGGTCCAGCCACCTCCGGTTGGCCTCAATTATGCTCTGAAAGGTGGTGCTGCCCACCTCAGGGACTTGGGAATGGGAGTGCTGTAGGAGCCGGAGCTGCTCACTGGGAAGGAAGAAGACAGCATGGGCGGGGAGACAGGAGGCATGGGGGATGGAAGTGCCAGAGGATGCGCAGAGGCCATCACATCTATAGCCTCCTCCCTCTTCCTCTCAGCTACCAGGGCAGTTTTTTCCAAGGTCTCTAGCAATTCAAAGCTTCAAAACAGCTGCCCCTCCAGAACAGTTCCCAAAAGGAAAGGCGGTGGATGCCCTCTGCCCCCTTGCTGGGTGCTACAGATACAAGGCTCTGGGACCCCACATCTGCCTGCTCCCGCCAATCTCTTCAACAAAGCACTCCCCTCTGTCAACTCAATCCTTGGCCGGTGTCAGCTCTCAAGCTGGCCAAAGGAATGGTCGGGGGGGTACTTCACAGTTAGGGGCCTAAGGAGGGGGATACATTTGGCAAGGAATAAAATGAATGGAAAATTAATAATCAGTTTAAATAACTGCCCGTCTGTCTCCTCCACAGGGTGTCCCTCTCAGTCCAGATGTTGCTCAGCAGGACTTGGGGAAGAAGGGAGCCACAGGAAGCAAACAAGAGCTCAAGGGCAAAGCCAAAGACCAGACCTCCAGGGCTGGTGGGGCTAGAGGCAAGGATGGGGGCAGGGTCCGACCAGGGGCTGTCTCCTCCCCACAGGGAGTTGGCTGGGTAAGGCCAGCCCTTCCCCACTGGGACCTTGGCTGCAAAGGGTGCCTCAGACCCAGGCAAGTGGAGACAGCTCTGTGAACTAGAGCCCTGATTTCTTGAGGTAACATCAGGAGGTCTGCTCCCCTTAAGAGGTCCACTGGCCCAGGGAAGCGCAGTGAGCAGCTCAACTGAGGTTCCACCCCAACCACTCTCAGGGAGGCTCACCTGGCAGACACGTAACCCAGCCTGTTCTCCAGCGGGCCAGGGCTGTTGCTGAGCAGCGGGATGCCAGCTGGAAGAGCGTGGGGACAGGGCTCAGAAATGGGCTGCGGCCACCACCCTGCTCACCAGCACCTCTTGCCTCCCCAGAATAAACAAAGGAAAGGGTTCGGTGGCTGGAGGCCAGAGAAAGATGAGACAAAGGAATGGTCCTACTCATTTTTAAAACTTAATCTACTTTTTAATTTGGGTTAGGGCAGAAAGAAGATACTTTGTTTTCCCTCAAATGCCTGTGTTTTATGGCTTTTCACAATCCTCAGCAGGGCTGAGACCAGCGGACGCCACCTGGCTCAGAAGCAAGAATTGGCCACAGAGCCAAGAGGTTCCAAGCAGAATCCTGGAGTCATAAAGACATGGAGTCACAACTGAGGTTGTTACTCACTTACTGGGTACTCTGGAACATACTACTTAACCTCTCTGAAACTCAGTTTCCCATCTGTAAAATCGGGATAAGTAATTACTACCTCAGAGAATTATTACAAGAACTAAATGAAAAAATACATGTAAACTGCTTGGCCCATGATGTATTGTACAAGATGGTAGCTATTAAGATAATGACAACATGATCCTTTAGGTTCTGCTGAACTCCAGAATCCATAATAAAGGCCCCCAGTCAGCCAGGCTCCACCTAAACCATCCTGACCTATAGAACTTCTGGCTGCAGGGCCACCCGAAATGTCTCCTTCCCCAGGGACCCACAGGTGGAGTCAATGGAGCAATGGACTACAGCAATGTTGGAGGCGGAGAGGTGGGGCAAAGGGATGCAAAAGAGGAAGAGGAAAAAAGGAGCAGAGGAAGAGGGTAGAAGAAAAGAAGGAAGGGGAGGAGGCAGCACGTGGGAAGGCTCCGCCCAGAGTGGGGCTTACATGGAAAATACTTGCGCCACTTCTCCAACAGGAAGTCATCCACTGTTTGAGCCACAGAGGAGGGGATCCTGGGACCCTGCCCTGAATCCCAGGCCCATTGGGTGGACATGGGCATAGCGGATGTTGAGGCTGAGAACCTGGCCAGGGAGCTGTAGCAGGTGGGGGTGGGGGTGCTCTTGGAGGCCCGGGGAGGGAGGTGGGCTGGCTTGGAGTTGAGGAGCAGTGGCGGCGACTGAGAGTTGAGGCTGTCCAGGATGCTAATGACGCTGCTCAACTGGCTGCTGATCTGCCGGAGGGAGTGGCTCAACCCATAGATATTGCGGAAGGTGTGACTCGGAGTTGAGGTGACTGAAAGAAAAGAGGTGGATGGTGGCAAAGGACTCAAGCTCAGGACCCTGGACTATCTCCAGACATAGCTGGCAGGGCAGCACCCTACTGGCCACCCCTCCCTGCTTCTCCAGACAACAGCCCCTCAGGCTTATGAGTGGGTCAGGGAATGGCACGGCTTCTGCGTTTCAGATAGTGCAGGCGAGAAGCTGGCCATGAGAAACAGGTTTCCAGGGCAAGGCCCTGGGTGAGGGGCCCAGGACCCCAGAGAGAAGGATGGGGAGAGGGCCCTTCTGTCACATGCAGGCCAGAGCAGCTGAGGGAGAACACCCTCCCCAGGAGGCCCTGGGCAGGGCCAGGGGCCACACTGCAGAGTACTCTGCAGCATTCAGAAGGCTTTCCAGACCTTTCAGCCCCATGTGCTGGCAAACCTAGATGTCCTGGCTCCTTCCCAGCACTGACTGAGCATCTAGTCCGGACACCAGCTCACAGAGGCCTGTCTCTGCAGGGCTGAGGGAAGGAGGCTCTTTCTTCCATTTCGCAAAGTTCCTCCCATTCCATGGATACCATGGTCCTCACTGCATGTCTCCCTGACTCACTCCTCTGCTGTGACCACCACTCACTGTGAGGCAGGGAACAAGATTCGGAACTTTCACTGCTCAGGCTGTCCATGTCACTGAGGTTGAAGGTTACCGTCTTCTTGGTGGGGGCTCCTCCCAGACTGCCCTCATCTGAGGCCTGCTGGGTAGAGGCAGCAGTTATGACCAACCCCTACCACGTGCTTTCTACCCTTCCTCTTTCCTTCCTAGAAGTGGCTAGGACACTGAGCTAGGTTCCTCTGTATGTTCTCTCTCTAAGCTGCTTTTCTTATGCAAACCTGTGAAACATAGCCATCTCCACTTGTTCTCCTAGCAACATTTTTGCTATGAATTCAAGAGGGCATATAGGCTGTTACCCTTGTGATGTGTGGGGACTGAGGACTTGGTGAGTAGACTCTTCTGGGGCCCAGAGTTCCACCAGGCACCCTGGGGGAGGCAAATCACACAGGCTGCCTCACAGCAGGGTAGGAGAGAGACAAGGCTAAGCATATGTCCCAAATGCCTGAGACATAGGCAACAGTGCCATCAGGACCATACAGACCCCCACCTCCCTTCCCAGTAAGCTCTCCCTGCAGTGTGACTCCAGCTAAGCCTCCCCTTGCTACATCTAAGCCTCAGACATCCAGGAGAAAGTGCACAAGGTCCCAGGGCAGGTAGGAAAACCTCTCATGTGCGTCCATTCCTGACACCCTAGTCATACCTCTCCTTAGTGACCAGGACAGGGTAAGGGCTAGGCCCTCTTCTCAGGCACCTTTAGCAAGAGGTTCCAGATATACTCAGGACCGTTTAGCACAGGTATCCAAACCCACAGATGTCTTCAATAAACTCAGAACTGAAGCCACTGCCACTTTCATCAGTCAGCAGACAAACCTACTGCCCAACCCTGGGCCCTAGAAGCCCAACTCCCCCGATGTAGGACCAAAGAACCCAACCCAATCCCAAGAACAGAAGAGGAAGCCCAGGGTCACACTGGGCTATGTGGCAATGGGGCTGCACCTCTTCCCAAAGAGAAGACTCCAGTTGATTCAGCTTCTCCTCTTTCTTCTTCAGTAGGTTGTGGCCTTTCCGCATGGCCGACTTCATCTCATCCAGGCGCCTGGTCTCCTGCAGCCAAGGAGAAAACAGGAGACATGACTATCCACACAGACACTGGAGTTCCAACCCTGCCATTTGCTGACTGGGTGATCTTGAACAAATTACTATAGTCTGGAAAAGAGAACTGTGACTTTTCACAGTCATGAGAATTACATGAGAGACAGTATGTTACATGCTTAGCACCATGCCCACACCTTAAAAACTCTCTAATGGTTACTGTTAACTAAATGGTTATTATTATGATTATTGTTTTTACAGATGAAGTCTCACTGTCACCCAGGCTAGAGTGCAGTGGCGTGATCACAGCTCAATGCAGCCTCAACTGCCTGGGCTCAAGCAATCCTCCCACCTCAGCCTCCCAGTAGCTGGGACCCTACAGGTGTGTGCCACCACACCTAGCTAGTTATTATTATTATTTTCCTTTTTTTTGTAGAGACAGAGTCTTGCTATGCTGGCAAGGCTGGCCTCAAACTCAAGTGATCCTCCAGCCTCAGCCTCCCAAAGCACTGGGATTACCGGTGTGAGCCACCCCATCAGCCACAAATGGTTATTATTATCACTGCTCCAATTATCATTACTCTCGTCATCACCACCACCATGGTGGACAGGAGTTAAGCAGAGCAATGACAGAGCCTGGGGCAGCATGTATACAACCCTGGGAAGCTGCCCCTCATCTGTTCCAGCCCCTTGCTCTCTCCTGACCCCAAGCGAGGCATGGGGGACATCGGGGCCTAAGCCCCTTACCAGTTCTGAACACCATCAGATTTCTAAGGGCCCAGGTGATCCAAGAGAGCTCACTCTGCCAGGACCCTCAACTGGTCAAAGATCTCTAATCCCAACTAATAATAATAATGAAGTATCTGCCTTCTCACTGCAAATTAGGCTATCAGAGAAGCAGGGGCAGGTAAGTAACTCAAAGCCTTTGGCCAAGTGTGTTCAAAAGACTTCCATGCATGAATGAAGTCTTTAGTGTGACAGGAGGGAAAGGCAAAGCACTGGATTTCAAAGCACTAAACCTAAGTCATACTCTTCACCAGGAAAATGGGACTATTACTACTGCCTTGTACATTATAAACAGTTATTGAATGGTTTGGCTCTGTGTCCCCACCCAAATCTCATCTTGACTTGTACTCCCATAATTCCCATGTGTTGTGGGAGGGACCTAGTGGGAGATAAATTGAATCATGGGGACCATTTCCCCCATACTGTTCTCATATAGTTAATAAGTCTCACAAGATCTGATGGGTTTATCAGGGGTTTCCACTTTGCTTCTTCCTCATTTTTACTTGCTACCAGCATGTAAGAAGTGTCTTTTGCCTCCTGCCATAATTCTGAGGCTTCCCCAGAATCAGTTCCCCAGTGGAACTGTAAGTCAAATTAAACCTCTTTTTCTTCCCATTGTCAGGCATGCCTTTATCCACAGCATAAAAAGGGACTAATACAGTAAACTGGTACCAGGAGTGGGGTGTTACTGAAAGATACCCAAAAATGTGGAAGCAACTTTGGAACTGGGTAACAGGTAGAGGCTGGAACAGTTTGGTGGGTTCAGAGGAAGACAGGAAAATGTGGGAAAGTTTGGAACCTCCAAGAGACTTGTTGCATGGCTTTGACAAAAATGCTGACAGTGATATGAACAATAAGGTCCAGGTGGAGATGGTCTGAGATGGAGATGAGGACCTTGTTGGGAACTAGAGCAAAAGTGACTCTTGTTATATTTTAGCAAACAGACTGGCAGCATTTTGCCACTGCCCTAGAGATCTGTGGATCTTTCAACTTGCTTGAGATGATTTAGGGTACCTGGCAGAAGAAACTTCTAAGCAGCAAAGTACTCAAAAGGTGACTTCGATGCAGTTAAAAGCATTCTGTTTTAAAAGAGAAAGAGTATAAAAGTTCAGAAAATGTTTAGCCTGATGATGCAGTAGAAAAGAAAAACCCTGGAGTGGCTGGCAAGATGGCCAAATAGAAACAGCTCTGGTCTGCAGCTCCCAGCGAGATCAATGCAGAAAGCAGGTGATTTCTGCATTTCCAACTAAGGTACCCAGCTCATCTCACTGGGACTGGTAGACAGTGGGTGCAGTCCATGGAGGGTGAGCTGAAGCAGGGTGGGGTGTTGCTTCACCTGGGAAGCACAAGGGGTCAGGGAATTCCCTCCCCTAGCCAAGGGAAGCCATGAGGGACCATGCCATGAGGGGAAGTGCATTCTGGCCCAAACACCATGCTTTTCCCACAGTCTTCGCAACCCACAGACCAGAAGATTCCCTCGGATGCCTATGCCACCAGGGCCCTGGGTTTTAAGCACAAAACTGAGCAGCCACTTGGGCAGACACCGAACTAACAGCAGGAGTTTTTTTTCACTCCCCAGTGGCACCTGGAATGCCAAAAAGACAGAACCATTCACCCCCCTGGAAAGGGGGCTAAAGTCAGGAAGTCAAGTGGTCTTGCTCAGCAGATCCCACCCCCATGGAGCCCAGCAAGTTAAGATCTACTGGCTTGAAATTCTCACTACCAGCAGAGCAGTCTGAAATTGACCTGGGACACTGGAGCTTGGTAGGAGGAGGAGCATCTGTCATTACTGAGGCTTGAATAGGCAGTTTTCCCCTCGTAGTGTAAACAAAGCTGCCCTCAAAGTTCAAACTGGGCAGAGCCTACTGCAGTGCCACAAGGCCACTGTAGCCAGACTGCCTCTCTAGATTCCTCCTCTCTGGGCAGGGCATCTCTGAAAGAAAGGCAGCAGCCCCAGTCAGGGGCTTATAGATAAAACTCCCATCTCCCTGGGACAGAGCACCTGGGGGAAGGGGCGGCTGTGGGCACAGCTTCAGCAGACGTAAATGTTCCTGCCGGCCGATTCTGAAGAGAGCTCAGGATCTCCCAGCACAACACTTGAGCTCTGCTAAGGAGCAGACTGCTTCCTCAAGTGGGTCCCTGAACCCCGTGCCTCTTGACTGGAGACACCTCTCAGCAGGGGTCAACAAGACACCTCAAATAGGAAAGCTCCGGCTGGCCTCTGGCAGGTGCCCCTCTGGGGTGAAGCTTCCAGAGGAAGGAATAAGCAGTAATCTTTGCTATTCTGCAGCCTCTGCTGCTGATACCCAGGCAAACAGGGTCTGGAGTGGACCTCCAGCAAACTCCAACAGACCTGCAGCAGAGCGACCTGTTAGGATGAAAACTAACAAACAGAAAGGAATAGGACCAACATCATCAACAAAAAGGACATCCACACAGAAACCCCACCTGAAGGTCACCAATATCAAAAACCACAAAGATGAGGAAAAACTAGCACAAAAAGGCGAAAATTCCAAAAACTAGAATGCCTCTTCTCCTCCAAAGGATCACAACTCCTTACCCACAAGGGAACAAAACTGAGCTGAGAATGAGTTTGATGAACTGACAGAAGTTGGCTTCAGAAGGTGGGTAATAACAAACTCCTCCGAGCTACAGGGGCATGTTCTAACCCAATGCAAGGAAGCTAAGAACCTTGAGAAAAGGCTAGAGGAATTGCTAACTAGAATAACCAGTTTGAAGAAGAATATAAATGACCTGATGGAGCTGAAAAACACAGCACGAGACTTCATGATGCATATACAAGGATCAACAGCCAAATCAATCAAACAGAAGAAAGCGTATTAGAAATGAAGATCAACTTAATGAAATAAAGTGTGAAGACAAGATGAGAGAAAAAAGAATGAAAGAGAATAAACAAAGCCTCCAAGAAATAGGGGACTACGTGAAAAGACCAAACCTATGTTTGATTGGTGTACCTGAAAGTGATGGGAAGAATGGAACCAAGTTGAAAAACACTCTTCAGGATATTATCCAGGAGAACTTCCCCAACCTAGCAAGACAGGCCAACATTCAAATTCAGAACATACAGAGAATGCCACCCAGATACTCCTCAAGAAGAGCAACCCCAAGACACATAACCGTCAGATTCACCAAGGTCGAAAGGAAGGAAAAAAATGTTAAGGGCAGCCAGAAGAAAGGTCAGGTTACCCAAATAGGGAAGCCCATCAGACTAACAGTACATCTCTCTGCAGAAAACCCTACAAGCCAGAAGAGGTGAGAGCCAATATTTGACATTCTTAAAGAAAAGAATTTTCAACCCAGAATTTCATATCCAGCCAAACTACACTTCACAAGCGAAGGAGAAATAAAATTCTCTACAAACAAATGCTGAGAGAGTTTGTCACCACCAGGCCTATCTTACAAGAGCTCCTGAAGGAAGTACTAAACATGGAAAGGAAAAACCGGTACCAGCCACTGCAAAAACATACCAAATTATAAAGACCATTGACACTATGAAGAAACTGTACCAACTAATGGGCAAAATAACCAGCTAGCATCATAATGACAGGATCAAATTCACTCATAGCAATATTAATCTTAAATGTAAACAAGCTAAATGCCCCAATTAAAAGACACAGACTTTGGACTGTGGACTTATGGGCTAATGCTGAAATGAGTTAAAACTTTGGGGGACTGTTGGGAAGGCATGATTGGTTTTGAAATGTGAGGATGTGAGATTTGGAGGGGCCAGGGGTGGGATGATATGGTTTGGCTCTGTGTCTCTATTCAAATTTCATCTTGTAATCCCATAATTCCCACATGTTCTAGGAGGGACCTGGTGGGAGATAATCTGAATTATGGGGGCCATTTCCCTCATACTGTTCTCATGATAGTGAATAAGTCTCACCAAATTCTGATAGGTTTATCACGGGTTTCTGCATTTGCTTCTTTCTCATGCCACCACCATGTAAGAAGTGCCTTTCGCCTCCTGCCATGATTCTGAGGCCTCCCCAGACATGAGAAACTGTAAGTCCAATTAAACCTCTTTTTCTTCCCAGTCTCAGGCATGTCTTTATCAGCAGCGTGAAAACAAGACTAATATAGTTATCGCGAGGTTCAAATGATTTACTACTAGAAAAGGTGTTTGCACGCTATGCATTACCATGTAAACATAAGTGACCCAGGACCAAGGTGGTCACTCTCATGGAGTCCTGAGAATGAGAAACTGAAGGGATGAGAAACACAGGAATGTTTTGCTGACTCCCCCACCCGCTCCCACACAGGGCTGGTAGGCTCTTCCCGAAGCTCCTGACCTTCTCCAGGTTCTTGTGCATATCTTCCAAGGCCTTGATGTCTGGTGGGTCTTTGGCCACCTCCTGCACATTGGCCAGCTCACGGCGCCAATGCTGCTGGGCAGCTTTCAGAGCTGTCTGCCGCCTCCGCATGGAGCGTGTCTGTTGCACCAGGAATTCCTTGGCACTACGGAGGGCTACCCCCTCAGCAGAGAGGTAGTGCCAGACATTGTGGGAGGACAGGCTGGGACAGGAGTTAAAGAAGGAAAACAGAAGCCTCTAAGAACTCGGCTCTGGGTCACATAGCCACTTCCCCAGCAGATGCCCACCCTAAGCACAAACCGGAGCTGCTGGGCTGGGGCTGGACAGTGTGTGTGCCCGGATGCCACTGTTCAATACCCACAGTGTGCAATGCCTGGGACTCACAGTGCTCCCACCCTGACTCTGAGAGGGGCTGTGCCTAGGGCCTCCAGATAGATGACCAGACACTTCCAGCAATCTGCTTCTCCACTACAGGAGAATGCCATGTCAAAGATCACAGTAGGCAGTTTCTTGGCTTTCCAGAGAAGATTCCTTAATCCTCCATAGCCTTCCCCATGAACCAAGCCCCACTGGTGATCTCTGTCTCCTCACTTCAGCTCACCCCAGCTCTAGGATGCAGGTACTCACTTACCCCTTCATGGTACCCTAACCTGAAATAAGACAGGCTATGGGAACTCACCTGTCTAAGTATAAGTCCTCCTTGCTCTGGGAGAGAGAAGACGACACCTCTTTGGCCTGGTTCTAGGGACACATGGTAAAAAAGTTCACTGAGTATAGCAAAAGCAGACACCCTGCAAGCTTGAGAGACCCCGAAGCCCCTCCCAGTGGCCTAGATAAGAAAATGGCTCTCCAGCTGCCAGGCACTGTTTACTTATAGATATCATCTTACTGGTAGACATGACTGGAAGCTGGGGATGATAAGAACAGACCCAAAGAGAGCAGAGCCAGCCCCTCCTGATGCCTTGGCCCACCTTATACTCCTCCCCTCCTGGGGCTCCACTCCTCTTGATGACCCATCCCCTCTGGAAGTACTCCCCTGATGCCTAGCCCCTCTCAATGCCCCACCCACTCCTGGTGCCCCAGCCCCCAGCCCCCAGCTCCCAGCTCACTGTCCCAAGGGACTTCCTCAGGTCCTCAATGTGGAGATCTGGCTCAAACTGCGGGGCAGCGTTACTTTCCTCAACTGTCACCTCTCTCAACAGGTGCTGCTTCTTCTGAGTTTCAGCCTCCAGGCTGCTGTGGAGGGAAAGGGGAGTGAGAGGCAGCGGGGCCGTGGGGGGTGGTGGTGAAGATGGGTTCTGATGAAGTGAGCCAGAACCATCGCCATCCCCTCACTCCCATCTGTCAAAGTCCCTAAGGAAGGGCTGAGGCACAAACAATAGCACCAGGGATCCCCTGCTTTTCACAGCATCTTAATCCCAACTCTCTTAACAAAAAGTAGCCACAGGCTCTTCTGCCTAGCTCCCAAGCTGGGACTCTACCTCTCCCTATTAACTGGGCCATGACACAAGCAGCAGAGGTCAGAGGGTGGGCAGGAGGCAGCCAGCAGGGCTAAGCACAGGGTGCCCACGCCACCTGATGTGTTTCTGCAGTTGCTGGCGCTCGGCCTGCAGCAGATCTACTTGGGACTCCAGCTCCAACTTGTGGGCCTGCAGCTCATCAAGAATTTTCCGGAGCTGCTGGTTTGACTGCAACAGGTGGGTGTGCTCCTTCTGTGCCTCCTCCAGGTGCTGATGGGTGGCTGTGGCTTCCTAGGGACAGAAGGAAAGATAGAGGCACCCAGAGACAGCACAGGGAGCAGGCAGCACTAGAGGGTAGGGAAGACAGAAAGGGATGGGCTGGGGATGAACTCAGAGTCACTGAAGTCACTACCTCTGAGGTCAGGAGTTCTGCAGGCTCCTGTCCCACCGCAGCCCACTCCCCTGAGGTTCTCAAGTGGGATCCACAGAGTGGCACTATTTGTGGAATACTGGCCAACAGAGTTTGGAACCAGTGCTCAACAGAGTTTGGACAGATCAGATGAACAAAGTGTGAGGAACAGGGAGAATAAAGACAGGGAATGGAGGAAAAACAAGAGGGAAGACAAAAGAGAAAGACAAACCTCACTCTTGAGAGCAACCTGCCTCTGTACATCAAGCAGCTGCTGCTTCTCCCTCCGGGCGGTCTCCTCCTTACAGGAAAGAGACAGAATTTTCTGTCTGACTATAGATTCCAGGTCTGAGGGGCAGGGCCTGTCCTCTGCTAGAAGAGCTATGCCTCAGGTCAAGGACCCTGCGGAGCCCTCACCTGGACATCCAGCTGAGCCAATCTGGCCTTGACATCTTTAGCTCTGGTTTCAAGTTCCATCTCTAAATCTTGGAGCTTCCTTTCCTGCCCAGAAAGAGAAAGACATAAGCATAGAAAGAGCGTAAGGCATTAGCTGAGGAGCAAGAGGGGTTTCCAGAATCCACCATGCCACACCGCAACCTCGACTCTGGGCTCAGGCTTCCTCCCTGTGTGCCCCTGCAGCCTCTCAGGAAGGCATCACACCTTGTTTATTTCCTGCTGGGGCAAGGAGACACGAAGGTGCCAACCACAATGCCTTACAGGGGCTCACCTCTAGTTCCATGTTCCCTGGACCAGAGAACAAAGGAGCAAGGATGCCCCAGCTTGAGGATGGCCAGTGAGAGACTCCCACTCCAGAAGCCGTCAGACTCCATCCTACTAGGGCGACGGCGCCTGCTCCCAGCACCCTCCTGCTGTGCATGGAGGGGTCACAGTGGGCTCGCCCTGCCCCAAGCCCCTCACCTGCTCCCTGTGCCGGCGCCGCAAGTCCTCAAGACGCTTGTGTTGCTCCTGCCTCACGGTCTCCAATTCTCGCTCATGGGCCCTCTGCAGGCGCTCCAGCTCTCCTGTTAGGTGCCCCAGGAGCTCAGCCCGCTGCTTTCTCTCCTGCAAGGAGGGTGGGCCCACCGGTGGGAAACTGCAGCAGCCCCTTCCACCACAAAAATCACAGCTCCCCCAGCCCTGCAGCCTTGAATCAGTAAGATCAGGGACACCATCAGCTCCCTAAAGCCAGCTCTTGGAGAAGAGGAGGGCTACAAGCACATCTCCGGCCCTGGCCCCAGGAAGCCTGCAGCCCTCTACAGCTGAAGTAGAGGCTGGCCAGACACCACGACGGAATCCCTCTCTGGCTCTCCTATGGCTCCACTATATACAACTTTTCCTTCTTAAGGAACGAGAGGTCACTGATAAATTATCAATATAACTTCAGCAAGGTCATAACTGGTTGGGAAAGGGATGTGGTAAATTTCATCACAAGACAGCTATTTCTGCCCTGGGAAAGATCCTAGAAAGAGTCTGGGATATTGCTTCCAGTTACTGGAGCAGTAGCGTTCATGCCCTTCAAGGGCCCAGCTGTGGGCTACAGTTAGCCACCCTCTACCCACCTACTGTTCACCCCCAATGTGAGCAAGCCAGGACAGCTTGGGTCCACTCAAGTCGCCGAACTTTCCTACCTTAAGGCCAAAGGCTTAAAATGGGGAGAATTTCAGTATGATTTGGCTCTTGCCAGTCTATTTCTTGGTATCCTGAGACGCTGAGGAACCCTGGTGATGTGATGTTGCAGGGAGGAAACTGAAGGCTTTGGAGTCGAATGGCCTGGGCTTGAATCCTAGCTCTTCTACTTATTAGCTGGTTGTGATCTTGGGAAGCTACTTAAACTCTCCAAGTCTCAGTGTCCTCATCTTTAAAAGGGAGATAATGATAGATCCTTCCTAAGGATGGTGTGAGGACTAAATGAGTTGAAACAGATAAAGAGCTCAGAACAGTTCCTGGCACACGGTACAAGCTCCGTGTATGGGGGTTCTTTTTAGTATCAGTAGAAAGAGCAGCCTGCCTGATAAAAGAGGAATTGCCCCTCATTAGCTAGAGGTTTTTCTCATGCTTTAATAAAAAAGGCAGAAAACCTCATTGTGACAGGGTACCAGGGAAGAAAAGCTCCCACAATCCCTGACCATAGTTCATCCCCTTCCTCTCCCCCACAGCCAGGTGGGAAGGACCCCAAGGTGTGTGTGCGTGTGCATGCATGTGTATGCGTGCATACGTGTGTGCAGGCGCACAGGGGATGTGGCCAAGCTACCTCAGCTTCATACCGCTCTCTGGCCTTGGCCATCACTTGGCGGTGCTCCTCCTTCATCTTGTCCAGCCTCCTCTCGTGCTCCCCCTCCACTTCTTGGCGCTTCTCTCGCAGAAGACTGCTGAGCTGCAGGGGAGACGGCAGGGATGTAGCATGCAGAACCGAGGTGAACCAGCACTCAAGGCTGGTGCTGAAGGTCATACACACATTTCCCCAAACTCTCCCAACATACATAACACATGGACATCACACAGCCATGACACCATGGTCAGCACACAGCCATACCCCCAACACCCCCTCCCCACATTATATAGGGGCATCAGACTAGAGGAGTACCTGGCTTCAAGGGAACCAAAGCATAAAAATGGAACCAGAAGTGCTAACCCCAGCTGAGCCACCCAAAGCAAACTAGAGGCCACTGAGGCTAGGACGGCTCAGTAGACCGTAAGAGAGTCCACAACAGGTGCACACAAATGTGGAAGACAAAGAGCAGCACTCACCTCTTGCTCATACTCAATCATGTGATAAGCCTTCTGGTGAACTCTGTGCTCCGCCTGCGCAAGGCACTTCTGCAGCTGGGTCTCCTCTTTCTGTTGAGCTTCCTCTATCTTCTTCTGGAGGCTGCAGACCACCTAAAGAGGCCCCAGCACACATAGGGGAGTGTGACCCTCAGAGAGACTGTACAGCTGCTGTGCTGGGATGCATGCTGAGGATCTGGCATCCATCCCCAGGGGCTAGAGGGAGAGAGAGGCTCACTGCCTAGTGGCTAGGGATGGGGCTGAGTTCTGCTAACCAGCCACAAAGGGGGCCCAGGATGCTGCATCTCACCTCCCGGTGCTTGGCCTCCAACGAGGAGCAGAGCCGCTCCAGCTCAGCACTGTGCTCCTTCTCCAACCTTGCCACTGCCTGGAGAGGAGCAAAGGGACTGAGGGAAGCTGGCCAGGTACTGACCATGACAAGAGGCAGAGCCAGGAAGACTACTGACCCCCAACCCCTCAAGATCAGGGCCAAGGGGAAGCACAAGGAAGCAGAGCACATCTTTGCTCCTCCGAAACAACTCAGCCCCTGAAGTCTACAACTGGCAAATGAACGGAACATGAAGGCCAGAGGAGAGGGGCATTTTAGTAAGTCTCGGCTCTCTGCTCCCACCCTCTGCCTCTGGACTAGGCCACAGATCCACAGATGGCACTCATGCTGCTAAATAATATCAAAGCCAGGGAGCCAAGTTAGATGCTGTCACTAAGTCAGGCCATGTAGAACTTTCTTTTTGGTGAGGTGCAAAGCTTCAGCTATTAGACATGGGAAAAACTACAGCAAGAGTGGGGAACTCCATTGTACTGCAAGCGCTCAGAAAGACTGTGCTAAAACTTTCAGAGGCTCCATGTGACTGGAGTAGAGGGAGTACGGACAAAGAGAAAATCCCTGCTATGTTGCCAGCCTCTGATCCTGAGAAAGGAGAGGGAAGTGGGGAGTGAGGCCCTTGCAACTGCCCCTCAGAGACAGGGAGGGAGAGAGTGCTCTTGTCTCAAAACCTCTGGTCTGTCTGAGGCTCTTTCAGTGGTGAACTTCCTCAAATCCACACGACACTCCCCCTCAAGTCTCTGATGGCTCCCTGCTTGACAACCTCGAGCCACCACTGCCATCCAGCCTGACCCTGGAGGGGCCTCAGGACACCTGCTGCATCCTTTGCCCTGCCACGGAGAGCAGGGCAAGCTCCTCCCCTGAGCTGATTCAGTCTATATGGAGTAATGGGCCCAGCTCGTCATTTCCCATGCCTGTCTATGAGAGACCTACTCTCTGCCCGGCTCCCCAACTTGCACGCCCACCCGAGGCTTGCCCTTCCTCCCTGTGCACTTGGTCCCTCTTCAGGCAGCCCAGACACATGTCAGAGGGTGAGGTCCCCACTTGACTGGCTCACTTCTTTCCTCTCTCCTTCCAGCTGCTCCCTCAGCTGCTGCAGAGCCTTCTCCTTTACAGTGTTCAGAGCAGCCTGCTCACTCTTCTCCAAAGCCTCCATCTCTTCCTTGAGCCGCTCCAGCATTTGCCTGTTTTTCTCTTCCAAGCTGGCCCTCTCAGCCTGCTGTTGAGACTCCAACTCTTCTCTCAGCTTCTGCAGGGAAGCCTCTGGCTCAGCCCTGGGTGGAAAGAGTGGAATAGGGATGGGCCTGGGCATCCTGGGTCCCCTCCGTGGGACTGGGCAGCTCACAGGTAAGCGCACACTTACCTGATGCGGTCCTCATCTGCTTGTGCACTGGACTGGACCTGGGCTCGGAGCCGGAATAGCCTCTGGCTTTCCTTCTCTCTCATCCGGGCCTCCTCCTCCTCAGTGGCTTTCTGCAGCTGCTCCTTCAAGGAACTGAGATGGAAAGGAAAGGCTAGGTTGTCAGAGAAACCACAAAGGTCTTTCTTCTATTCATAATCTCTGGCTCTTAACCTCCAATAGCCCTGCTGCCTGCCTAAGAAATTTCCTATATCTTTTTTTTTTTTTTTTTTTTTTTTTTCCTTTTTGAAGACAGGTTCCTGCTCTGTTGTCCAGGCTGGAATGCAGTGGTGGGATCACGGCTTACTGCAGCCTTAAACTCCTGGGCTTAAGCAAGCCTCTCACCTCAGCCTCCCATGTTGTTAGGACCCACCAAAGCATGCAGCACCAAACCCAGCTAATTGTTGAGATGGAGTCTTGCTGTGTTGCCCAGGCTGATCTCGAACTCCTGAGCTCAAATGATCCTTCGGCCGAGGCCTCCCAAAACACTGAGATTAGAGTCATGAGCCACTGCGCCCAGTCAAAGCTTCCTAAATCTTAAAGATGAGTCTTACCTCAGCCTCTGGATCCATGGCTGTCTCTCATAATACCTCCAGGATCACAAGGAGATCATGAACTCCCCTTTGCTTCAAGAAGCAATCTACTAGCTGGGTGCAGTGGCTCATGCCTGTAATCCCAGAACTTTAGGAGGCTGAGGCAAGCGGATCACCTGAGGTCAGGAGTTTGAGACCAGCCTGGCCATAACGGCAAAACCCCATCTCTACCAAAAATACAAAAATTAGCCAGATGCGGTGGCACACAGCTGTAGTCCCAGCTACTTGGGAGGCTGAGACAGGAGAATTGCTGGAACCTGGGAGGCAGAGGTTGCAGTGAGCAAAGATCACACCACTGCATCGCACTCCAACCTGGGCAACAGAGCAACACTATGTCTCCAAAAAAGAAAAAAAAAAGGATCAAACTACAGGGCGTCTGTGTTTCAGTACGGCACTTCTTCCAAAGGCTCCCCTCTGTCAACACCTTCACCTCCGCATGGCACTCACTCAAGGATAGCTATAGATGCCAACTTGATTCCACGTTCTTTTACTCTGACAAGACTCTGTTCTGGGCACATCAGCTGAATCACATCCCTCCATTCTACCACACTCTTCCTTGCCTCTTCGCCTTTGTTCTTGCTAGTTCCTCTGCCAAGAATTCCCTTTTCTATCTGGCAAACCAATATTCATTGCTCAACTCCCAGCTCCCTCTCTGGGAAGTCTTTCCAACTCCCTCCAAGCTCATCAACTCTGTTCTCATCATTTACATGTGGTCCTGTTTTTCTTTTCTTTTTTTTTGAGACAGAGTCTGATTCTGTCACCAGGCTGAAGTGTAGTGGCACAATCTCGGCTCACTACAACCTCCGCCTCCTGGGTTCAAGTGATTCCCCTGCCTCAGCCTCCCGAGTAGCTGGAACTACAGGCATGAGCCACTGAGCCCAGCCCAGTTTACATGTGGACCTTTCTTATCCCATGCTACTCTGCACCGTGCATCACATGGCATCATGATTCATCTTCTGTATCTCTGTTTTCCTTGCAAGTCTGGATTTCTCAAGAGAAAGAATCTTCTCTTAAAATCTGTTCTATCCCAGGTACCACACACAGTAGGTGACATAAAGTAGGTGCTTAAAAAATTAACTGAATCTGAACAGCATCACCCAGCCCCAAACTATAAGCAAGCCGTGATATCTACGAAAGGTTATCTTATTCACAGACCAACAACAGTGGCCACTTCAACCTAAGCAGACATCCCCCTCTTGACATAAACCACATCCTTTTCAGGTAACTCCTCTCACAGCCCCACATGACCAGGGGATGTATGCTGTTAACTCAGAGAATTATAGCCCAGGAAATCATGATTTGGAAAACAAATCCTTTGAAAAGCTTCTGCACCAAATTCTAAAGCCAAAAAAAGATTTAAAATTCTTTCCTATTTCAAGATACCAACACCATGACTTTCTTCCATTAAGAGAGGAAATTTGAATTAAGTAAAAATCCTTCCTTCTAGATTCCCCAGAAACCCTTTCTCTTTGCCCTATGACTAAATTTTATACACAGCAACACAATGTTAGAGCTGGCACGGACTTTAGAGGTTTTAAGTCCAATCCCTTCATTTTACAGTGAAAGAAACTAAGGGCCAGCCTGCCTGCCTTCTCATTCCAGAAATATTTGTTACAAGATCAGCTGTGGATTCTAGAAATTTCTACCACATGGAAGTTCCCGGCAGAGGGAAAGAGAGCCCATTCCTCAGAAAGGCTTGGCATAAACAGAAACAGGTTCTGGTGATAAACTATTTTGAAGAAAGCCAGGCAAGGCACTGTCCACAGAGAAATCACTTAGTTAAGACTGCCTGAGTACGCATTGATTTCGACTGAAAATAAAAGCAATTGCTACCATTTGTTCAGCAACTACTGTGTTCCAGGCTGTGAATCAAGACACTTTTGGCATGCCAGTCTTCCCTACAACCTAAGAGGGCCTCTGGAGTCAGGGGTCTTAGGAGAGGGATGGAAAGCACAGTCAGCCAAGCTCAGGGAAACCAGGAAGAGGGGAGGAGACTGGTGGGATGATGGGAACACACCGCCAGGATTTCCTCCAAGGCGCTGCACCTTAAGGTAAGTCACATCCTGCTTGGGTGGTCCCCTGCCCCAATTCTCAGTTGGCTGGAAGAGGAGGAGGCTAAGGCGGCAGAGGTGTCTGTTCTTTGGGATGCTCCCTGGTGGAAGACCCACAAGGAAGTGATACGAGGACAGACCCTGGGTCAGTGGTTCCTGTGCTGGGCTCATGAGAGATTGCTCCGACCCTCCCAGTACTTGTATTTTGGTTTTCTGTTTCATTTTCTCTAAATTAAGCATAAACATTTTATATGTACTTTGCTAGGTATCATCTAAAAATAACAATTTTCCACCACTTTTGGATGTTCTGTACAAGAGGACAAGACTTAGCCTTTAGTTAAATTGCCAAGAAAATGAAATATGTTAACACCTTTTTGTAGTGCCTTTCTCATCCTGGGACTGTGACAGATGGCTCATTAACAGCTTAACAGCCATTCTCCCTTTCTTCCTTACAAACAGAACCCTGTTTTTATTCCACTGGGTAAAGAGGTCAGCTAAAGGACTATATTTCCCAGTGTTCTCTGCATCTAGGTGTAACCAGTGAGATATGAGCAAAAATTGTTGGGTAAAATTTCCCAACTTTAGTTGGTCTTGGTAGAACAATGGGCACCCCAGTGGTCCCCAGACTGAGAGGGTATCCCTAGCTCCTATATCCCTGAAGGCCCCAGGGAGTGTGCCTAAGCGGAAGGGCAGGACCTGAGAGATTTCTCTTTCTGCTGGTGAAGCCGGAGGATCTCCTCTTCCTCTTCTTGGCATAGCTTCTCCTGCAGTTGCTCCATCTTCTCTTGCTTCAATTCCAGCAGGTGCCTCTGGTCTTGCTCGAGTACTTGGGCCATTGCCTTTTCCATAGCCTTTAGTGCAGCCTCTGAGAGCTGCTCTGGGGGTGCCACAGGCTCTGTGGATCGCCTATCATGAGAGGAGAATGGTACATCGTCACAGTGTTAACATCCACCCACCTCTGGCGTCAAGGTTTGAAAGGACATAAAACATCACATATGGAATAATAATGGAGGGCCCACAATCAGGAGTCAGTCAGGTCACCCAAGGGCAGGCAAGAGATACTGTGAACACTTGTTCCATAAGACAAGCCCCACTGTGGCTATTTAAGGCTCTAAGAGCCTAGGGAGAAGGGTGGCCCACAGCAGGCTCTCAGCAGACTTAGGAGGTTGTGGCCCAAGATCAAAAATATGAAGTTTCAGCTCAACATCTGGCAGCAGCAGGGAGAGAGTAAAGCTCTGTCCCTAATGGATTCCTTCCAGTATGGCTCACAGCCCCATTACCACCTCCCCACTAGAGCTCTGCCTGCTGCTTAAGGCTCATGCCAGCAATTTGGGAACGGTCCCCAGAGACTGCTTTCTGCCTCCCAAACTGAGTAGTGGCCAATGTATATGGGCCCACAAGAGAAGCAGCAGTAGGTCTCCTAGCTCTGAGAACTACAACAGTCCAGGAAGGCCCAGGAATAGGAAACTCCCCTATCATACCACCAAGGGGGCCAGAAGGAGATGCTTCCCTAAGCCAAAAAAATGTAGCAAGCGTACACATGAGTGCCATGTTCCCCGTCTCCCCATGGGGGCATGTTTCCACCTGCTTCAAGTTAATTAAATGTTTAGAAATGAGTAAAAGAAATTCAGAGCTAACCTGGATGCACAGGAGGTGGTGAAATCAGGAATAATGGTATCCATTAAAAAGATGTGTATGAAGTAATAAGGACAGTTATTTTGCTTGTTTTCTGGTTCTTGAAGGAAATGCTCAAAGAGGAATCCGACAATATTCTGAGCAGTGAAAGCATGGGCAGGATAAAACATTATGCCTCCTAGAGTGACTTTCCTAAAGGCCAGAATGTGTCTGCACTTCCAGGTCCCTCAATCTCATGTTGGAAATTGGTCTCGCCAAACACCCTCCTCGCACAGCACTCAGGCTGATGCAGGCCCAGCACAGTGGCTCAGTCAACCTAAGCAAAAAGTGTGGGCATAACCCAAAACAAAGAGGGCTGAGCAAGAGTCACACAGGGGAGCCTCCCTGCTGGGGACTCAGAACCCCTGCCCCCTCCAGCTCGAGCCCCACTGAAGATGGAAAGCAGCAGGAAGGATCAGATTAGAACAGCAGAGGAAAACAAGGACTTACGAATCCCACTGCAGCACCTTGAGACTAGAGAGAGAAGGAAGACAGGACAGGCTACTGTCATCTCTAAATTACCATAAAGACCTTTCCTTTCCCCTTTCCTAAAATCGTAACTCAGACCAGAAACAATCTTGAGCTATGCCTGCAATTCTTTTGTGCTCCCAACTCCATCTCCTCCCTCCTTCCAAAGCCTGGCTTCCTCTCAGTCCCCTGACATAGCCCAACTGTGGCAGATGTAAGAGATGTGGCTGCCACCTCCTCTGAGAATCCTGCCCTCAGAAAGAGCCTTCCCCAACAGCTCTCCGCCTCATCAACCCTCCAACTCATTTCCAACCTTAGCTGAAAACATCTTTTTTCCCTTAGATGGTACCTTTTAATGTCTCTCTCCTGCAGGCTGCACAGCTATGTGGAGCCCTAGGGACAGATGCTGTAGAAAGATGGAGCATCAGACCGCGTGGGGCGTGTACCCAGGCTATGCGCACCAGTGAGCTTGCACAGAGGCAAGCTGGGCTGTCTGTCAGTGGACCTCTTCTCCCTCACCCAGTTTTAAAGATCTAGTCGTTCAAACTCCTAGCTTAGGTCCAAGGCAGTAAACAGTGCCTGAAAGACCTGTGACGTGACTGGGAAGTTGAGGACTCCAAGGGAAAAAACAGCTCCGACTTCTAGGCCAACTCCTCATGTATCAGAATCAGTGGGACCTAGTTTCCTACAGTGAGTGACAAAGGGGAGGCTCTGCAGGAACATAATCATTCCAGGCTGGCCACCAAGTAGCTCAAATTTACCTGAGAGAAACAAGAAGGGAAGCCAGGGAGAGAGGGGGAAGTGAGAGAGCGGAGGGCTGGGAAACAGCACCCAGGAACACTGTGAAATGGTTTTCATGGTACTACCACAAAAGAATGTCTCCTCTCATACTCAACTTGGTGTTCTGATTCTTTTATCCTCTTCTCTGCAAACCCTCAGGAAGGATGCTGGCATGACAAGGGGAGGATCTTCCTGTTTCCTAGTCCTGGCCTTGGCCAGAAAGCATTCAGTGAGTGACACGTGCTGCTTCCTGGCCCTACCTGCTCCCTCTAGCCTGCCCTCTTCTCCTATTCCTTCAGATCCAGCTTGACTAAACGTTTGCAAGCTGGGAGACACAGAACCACTCCCACAAAACCTAGATAACCCATCCATTCCCAATGTAGCCGTAAAGATTAATAACAAGGACGTGATGGTGCTTGAAGAGACTCAGGAAAGAACAGAAGGCATTTCCTAAGGGGATGGTGTAAACTGAGCCTCCGTGGTCAAGCATCTCCGAGACCCTAGCAGAGGCAGCCTCACTGGGATAGCAGGAGAAACACAAGGGAAGGGAATGAATTAGCCAAGGCAGCCAGGGAGGAGACAGGGAAGCCGAGGCCCCAACTGAGCCCTACTGCCTCTGAAGGTCCTGGGGAGACACCCCGCTGACCTCTGTCCAATCTTCCTCTCTCTGAACTACACCCACCTCCTGTCCTCAAAGAAAGCATCCTGAACTGGCTGACCACAGCCACCAAGGAGATAGGAAAGCCGTATAATTCCTCCAGGTCACAGTTTTCATTGCAGGATATATCAGCATCTGAAAAACGTGACCACCCCTTCCCTACACCACTCCTGCAATGTTATGGTGACAACACGAGATCCTGAGCTCATCAGCTCTCAGTGAGTCAAGTGTGCATGAACTTCCTGTGAGTAATGTGTGCATGAACCTGTCTCTGCTTTTAGTCAGTCCCAATCCTTTAGACCTGCTCAGTTCACAGAAGAGAACGTGTTTAAGTCCTGACCCTTATCTTTCTCCATGCAGAGAAAAGGAACAGTGGCTGCAGACTAAAGTCAGAAGTCTAGGGCTCTAGTGACTAGAATCTAGTTTTGTTTTTGTTTGTTTGTTTGTTTGTTTGTTTGTTTGTTTTTTGAGACAGAGTTTTGCTCATTACCGAGGTTGGAGTGCAGTGGCACAATCTAAGCTCACCACAATCTCCGCCTCCCAGGTTCAAGTGATTCTCCTGCCTCTGCCTCCCAAGTAGCCAGGATTATAGGTGCCTGCCACCATACCCAAGCTAATTTTTTTATTAGTAGTAGAGACAGGGTTTTGCCATGTTGGCCAGGCTGGTCTCGAACTCCTGACCTCAGGTGATCCACCTGCCTCGGCCTCCCAAAGTGCTGGGATTACAGATATGAGCCACCATGCCCTGCTTAGAATCTAGTTCTAATTCTGCTGCTGACTAGCAATGTGGCCTTAGACAAATTCCTTCACTTCTGAGCCTCAGTTTCCTCATCTAAAAAAATGGGTAGGAAGGGGAAAGGTGAGAATGGAAGGAAAAAACCTAAATGATTTCTAAATTTTAGAAGCACTTGGTGCAACAATATAGGTGAATCGCAAAAACACGTTGAGCTTTGAGTACAAGCACCAAAGATCAATCCTGTATACTGTATAATTCCATTTATGTGAAGTGGAGAACTGGAAAAATGACTCTTTGGTCAAAACTTGGAACTCAGAGGCCAGAACAGTGAAGAAAGACCTGGGATGGGTGGGTTGAGAGGGGCATGAGGAAACGTCTTCAAGGGCTGGAGACATTCCATGTCTGAGTGGCTGTTATACAGTGTGCACAGATGCAAATCTCCACTGAATTGTACACTTCAGGTCTGTGTACTGAGGTGTATATACATACCTTAACAACATTTGTAAAGAGAAAAACAGCACTTGGTAGACAGGAAACATGATTTAGCAAGTTCAGCAAATGAGCTAGGAGGTACCAACCATCCGTCTTTGTATCCCAAGTCCTGACCAAGAGCCCCAGAGGCAGAAGCTAACCCCACGTAAGGATCAGTCACACCTGTGTGGGGCTCTTAAGGCCACACACACAGCACCAAGAATGTGCTCAATCTCCCCTACACTCTAACCCCTGGCCAGAGCCAGTGCCCCGATTTCTACCACCCAAGAGTGAATAGGCATGGAAGCAGCCCACATACAGTGGAGGACAGGGACAGACACATAGAACTGGCCCTTACACCTCTGGAGAGACTGGCAGGGTGGGGCCGACCACCACCTTCTCCTCAGGCTCCTCTGCCTCTTCCTGTCCAGGGGCCAGTTCCTCAGCCTGGGAGTGTTGCTCCTTGCCCTTCTCGTGGGCAGCAGGTGGGCTTGGAGCTTGCTCCCTTGATGTCAGTAAGAAAACAACTGTGTTAAAGCCAGTAAGAAACCAAGAGGCTTAAGATGCATGCCATTTGTGGTCAAAAAGCTATGACAGAGATAAGAGAGACAGCCCCAGTAGTTTCCCGGCCTTGGGTATTAAACCTCCCTCTCCCCTCCCTTCCTCTCCCTGAATTATCTGCATCAAAGACCAGAGATTCCTGCCTCACAATGGAAGCAGGAAGGTTATGGGTACCCCAGGAGCTCTGTACACAGCAGGTGTTCAGTGGATGCTGTTGATTGCACATCGATGTTGCTCAGGTTCCCTAGTGACTCATTCTAACCCAATGAATTCTAAGACCAGCATCCTTCTCTTGCTAGGGGAACAAAGAACTAGTAAATGTCCACCAGGCTCTGAACTAAGCTAGGATTCAAAGGTTCTCTCAGCTGGATTCAGAGTGATCTGGACTTCCCTCTCCCTGGGCCAAGCACATTAACAGGGCTCCAGCTGGGGTTGCTGAATGACTAGAAACAGGGGCGCTGGCAGGGAGGGGACTAGAGAAAGGGCTTCCCTGGCAGCAGTGGAGCAGCCAGAGTAACAACAGTTTCTGCTCAGCCCCTGGCAGGGAGGCAGCTGGGACAAAAGAGATATCTCCTTATTCAAGAGTCTCTAAGTTCCTCTAATCAGACCACATACTCTAATTTCAGCTGTAGATTGAGGCACATTGTGTAGGAAGAGGCACATTTCCTCATATCCAGCTCCCACGGGACACTAAGCAGACCCTCCACTGCTGCTGCTGAGGATACAAACCCACCCAAGCTCGCTCCCCAAGCCAACCCCACCCCCATCTCTCTCACAACTAGCACATAAACCCGCTACATGCAGAGCAGCCACCGGGGGCGCTTCCCCTCATCCTTACCTCTGGAGGGAGAGTGGCGGGCTGAGGCTGGCTACAGAGTCCTCCCCAGGCTCCTCTGCCTCCTTCCACTCGGGCTGCCCCTTGGGGCCCTGGGGGGACTCTTCTTGGGTGGCCAGGCTGAGAGGGGGACTCTGGGCCCGCTCCTCATGCAGAAGTGGAGGAGATAACCTGGTCAGGCCAGTCAGAGCAGCAGAGTTAGGAGCCACCATATGAAGAGCGGGAATAGAACTGGGGAGTGCAGTGTGTGGACCTAGGTCAATCCCTCTTCCTAGGTTATGTCCCAGCCCCACCCCCACATCCATCCGTGGAGAGCTGCAGTGGGGCCAGGCAACCAGACATGCAGGAATAAGAGAGTCCCTCCTGAGCCCTCCTTTTGCCTAGACTGGAGTCAGGCTTCCCAGGGGTCCCTGTGCTACCTCTGCTTGGTTCAGCAGTAAAAGCTGGACATACTCACAAGTGTACCCATCCCCAAAGCTCACCATCACTGGGGCCAGGGAGGGGTAGAAGAACTGAGTGGGGAGAAAAAGAGAAGCCAGACTCAAGAGATCAGACCAGAAAATGCATGAAGCTCTCATGGACAGTTTTTGCAGGTCCAAAAGTGAAATGACCATTATCCTTCCCCTTCCAGGGTGGCCCCCCTTATCACGAGGCTCAGGCCTGAGAAGCTGAGAGCCCCTGTCATATCACACACAGTTGTACACACACAAATAGCTGCAGCCATTTCTGATGTGGCAGGGCCCTGGCTCAGAGCTCTGAGTTGCAGCACCAACCCTCCAATGTGACTCCTCCAGACTTCCAGAAAGTTTCTTCAGCCCTGGCCCATAACCAGCCCTGGACCACACACAGCTTAATTAGCCCTGGCCCCACAATGGTGCCCAGAGTCCTGCCAAATGCACCCAGTGGCACTTCACATTCCCATCTTGGTGCAGAATCAGAGGGTCCACTCATGTATACAAACATATACACACACATATACACATTGCAGGTACACACACATGCACAAACATATACACATGCATGCGCACGCAGAAACCTTGCAAGGCCATCCAGCCAGCTCACCACCTGCCGTCAAGCAAGTGTACACTGAGCCAGGCCAGCCACCAAAGCCAAGAATTCTGCCCAAGTCCACACCACCCTGAAGGCACACCATATCTCATGTCTGTGGGGATATCCTCCCACCTGTGGTACCTCTCCAAGCCTTTGGACTGCTTGCTCTGCAGCTCATCTTGGCTAGACTGGCTATCATCTTTGTTTTCTATTCCCAGTGGTTGCTGGGCCTGTAGGAGAGAAGCAATAAAAAGTTTGTGTTGTAGGGACTGCATCTGGGTCACTCCATCCTCCTGCTGGCTCTCAAGCTTGGGATAAAGCACTGAGAAGCTACTCTCTAGAGGATGGGGCCATGTGGGACATAGAACAGAAGGCTGGTCTACTGCACAGTGAAGCTTCCCAAGCTTTGGCTAAGCCCCCAGGCTCACAGCTGCTCCCTGAGTCAACTCTTGAGGCCTGGGGAGGATGAGGCAAAAGACCACAGTCACTACACACAGAGTCAGGAGCCACAGGCCGAAGGACAACACACAAGAAAAAGAAAATCCTGTCTCCTGCTACTGGTAGCCTGCACTGCGAGCTTCACAGAGAAAGCAGAGAAATCCGTGAGTACCCCAAATCCACAGAGGCCCAAATCAGCAGTGTCAGTGAATTACAGAGGTGCTAAAATGAAAAGGGCAGAATCGGGGGCCACAGGCAAGCACATGAGAAAGGGTAAGTGCTGGAGAGATAGAGTCCTGGTAGAATGAGAGACAGAGCTGTACCCGAGACAAAAAGGGCACCACCTGGCACTTGTAGGAAGGAAGACAGTGCTCCTTCACTACATTCAGGGCACCCCCCCCAAGCACCCAGGCCCCATCAGCAGACAATGATGCCCCCTTCCCATCAACAATTATATTACCCATCAAAAACAAAACAAGGCCAGGCATGGTGGCTCACGCCTGTAATCCCAGCACTTTGGGAAGCTGAGGAGGGTGGATCACAAGCTCAGGAGTTCGAGACCAGCCTGACCAACATGGTGAACTCCATCTCTACTAAAAATACAAAAATTAGCCAGGCATGATGGCACATGCCTGTAATCCCAGCTATTCAGGAGGCCAAGGTAGAAGAATCACTTGAACCCGAGAGGCAGAGGTTGCAGTGAGTGGAGATCGCACTACTGCACTCCAGCTTGGGTGCCAGAGGGAGACTCCGTCTCAAAAAAAAAAAAAAAAAAAAAAAAAAAAAACAGAACAAAAATCTCATTTTAAAGCTTGGGTGATTAGTGAAATTTAGCAAGTTGGTGGGGTAAAAAAGGAAGCAGGGAGAACTATTCTTTTTTTTTTTTTTCCTTTTTTGAGACAGGGTCTCACTCTGTCACCCAGCCTGGAGGGGAGAAATATTATTGATCATTTCAAATATTTTCCACAGAGATATAGTAGTGTAGTCAGCCTGGGGTCAACACTTTGTTCTAGCTCTTCCTGCCTGGGAAGTCTGTCTCCTCCACTGTATAAAATGGGATAGTAAACTGCAACTCACAGGGCTTCTGGTGAGGATTAAATCAGCTCATATGCGTAAGGCCCAACTCCCGACCCAAATGCCATGCCATCAATGTTAGTTCCTCTTCTCACATTCCTCTCCCTCTCCCCCAGCCTAAGGTAAAAAACAAAAGACTCTGCCGGTGCCAGTCCCCATCCTAGGACCTGCACTTCTTCTGTCATGCCAACAGGAGCCCCGTCTGTTCTGGGACACAGGGTGAACAGGAGAGGTGGGGCGGGAGACAGCTCACTCCGTCTTCCCCAGTGGGGTCCCCAGCCCTGTGCCCACAGCCCCCACACCTCTCCATTGGCAGCCTAAGCCCCAGCAGCTGTGGCCAACCCTGCCATCTGGATGGGTAAGGAAGGGCAGGGCCTGAACTAAAACCCAGCTCCCCCAAATTACATTAAAAATAGAAATGCTGCCTGTGAGTACCTCCCAGTGCCTGCAGCAGAAGGGCTCCCTGCCAGGGCTGCCACTCCTCATCGCATCAGCCTGGGCAGAGCCTGCAGACAATGGCAGGGCATGCAGCCTTTCCAACCCCACCTCTCTCCCCTTCCATCGTGCAACTCACAACTTGTCTTCCCCTACAGACCACACCATGCTCATCAAATATCTCCCTCTCTCACCTGTCAAGAAAGAAAATCACACAGGCCAACTCCATTTAACAAACTGAAATATAAGATGAGTAATAAAGTGGGGTGATAGTAATAAAAATAGAGGGACTGCACCCTGAGTCAGAAAGAACTCCAGGGCTATCCGCCACACACCATAAAGAAAAAGGCAGCAGATAGGAGGGCTGGCTACAGACCATGGCTTTCTGGCCTCTCCCTTCTTGTTTCACTTACATTTCTGTGAGAAATTGAACTAGCCCCACTGACAGAGAAAAGGGGATCCTCTGGGGAAATACCCAGACAGACGATCCTCCTGGTAGAGAGGGTTGCCTCCCTTGAACTTTTTGCTCCAGAAAAAGAAGCAAAGGGACCAGAAGAGGAAAGCAGCCAAGGTCAGCATTCTTCAGAAAGCAGAGACAATCGAGCTGGACACAGTGGCTCACGCCTATCATCTCAGCACTTTGGGAGGCTGAGGCAGCTGGATCACAAGGTCAACAGTTCTAACATGGTGAAACTCCATCTCTAATAAGAATATAGCCAGGCATGGTGGTGCATACGTGTAATCCCAAATACTTGGGAGGCTGAGGCAGGAGACTCATTTGAACTCAGGAGGTGGAGGCTGCAATGAGCAGAGATCACGCCACTGCACCCTAGCCTGGGCAACAGAGCAAGACTTTGTCTGGGGATGGGGGGAAGAAAGGGGAAACAATCGCACATCCTAAGCCTCTGGCCTAAGATATCATTTCCCTCTCCTTAACTGAGCTCTAGGGTCTTTTTTTTCATTAAGGATTCAGTCCTTAGTTAAATAAACAATGGTGTATTCATACAGCAGAAGACGGTGCAGGCAACAAAATAAACATGGTAGATCTATATAAAATAACTCAGAAATAAGTCAAGAGCCTATTCCCAAATTTAAAGAGCACATCACCCAGCAGTTTAGGTAGCACAATCCCAATTTTTATGGGAAGAAAAATGATAAGCAAGTAGAAAATAGATACATGCTTATATGTACAGAGAAAAAATTCTGAAAAGGCACATGAAAAACGTGAATGGAAGCTGTCCATAGTCCCTGCCTGTGTGAGTAAGGTTAGAGGAAGTAGAGAACTTGGACCTTCTGTATTATTTGAAATAATTTTATAATCACTTTTCTAATTCATTATGAAATGTATTATGTCTAATTCATTATGATCTTTTTTTGTGGTGATAGTTGAGAAGGTACATAATATGGTAAAACTTATCAAATAAATGTGCAGTTTATTGTATATCAATTATATCTCAATACAGCTGCATTAAAAATATTTAAAATGAACAAAAACTAGTATAGCTCAGTTCTAAGCCCTCTCTCCTGCCCTTGAGAGAGACATGGAGAACATGGCAAATTGGGCAAGAGCACACAGGAAGGACAGAGGATGGCAGCTACAGTTCTGTCCCATGAAGGCGCTGCTGCTCTTTCCTCCAGCTCCACCTTCCTACTCGAGCCCTCCATCTCCAGAGATGGCAGACACCTGGAGGCTGAGCCCTGCAAAGTCTCGGCTACTTGGTCAGCTATGCTGAGCACCCAGTTACCCACATCATGACAGGCAGGTCACAAGATATAGTTTAAGGGATGAGGGTCCCCAACCCCTGGGCTGCAGAGCAGGGGGTGAACAGTGGGTAAGCAAGCATTATCACCTGAGCTACACCTCCTGTCAGATCAGCAGTGGCATTGAGTTCTGACAGGAGCACGCATCCTATTGTGATCTGTGCATGTGAGGGATCTAGATTGCGTGCTCCTTGTGAGAATCTAATGCCCCAACCCCTGTCCCCATCTGTGGAAAAACTGTCTTCCAGGAAACTGGTCACTGATGCCAAAAAGGTTGGGGACTGCTGGCTTAGGGCTTCCTCTGCCAGGGATGGCCACCTCAGGAGGCTCAACCTCATGAGAACCAAAACCAAGTCAGGTCCTGCTACTGCGTTACAGCAAGTGGCATGGCACGAAAAGAGGCTGCTGTCCACATCAGGTCTTAAGTAAACCCAGAAATCTTTTTTTCAAGCTCCCAAGTAATTCTGATACTGGCCAGGTGTTAGACTCCAAGCAATGGAATTCACCCCGACCCCACTGACTCAATAACTTTCCCGCTCACCTACTGCCAAAGGCGCCTCACAATTCACCTGCTCCAAACCTTTCCTGACTAATCCCATCTTCCCTTGTCTGTGCCCTCACATCTCTTTAGCACTGCAAATAGGATAACCAAGGTCCAGCAGGGACCAGGTAGCTGGACAGTGGCCCAGAAAGGTTTTATCAGCCAGACCTGAGAGGAACATGTGGGGCTCAAATGCAGTTGGTCTGAAAACTCTATCCTGTCTCTAGCACACATTTCACTAAAGTCTCCCAGGCTGGGTTCATATGAAACATCTTGTTTGTTTCACCCAATAATTTCCATTTTGCCCAAACCAAATGTTCCCTTAACCTTGCAACTTGCAGAGACCATGTGCAAGAACTGCTCTTCTAACCAATCCACAAAGGAAAAACAAACAAACAAAAAAGGTCTTGGCTTGAAGCTCCTTGAGGACAGGATCTATGTTTGAGTCATCTTTGTACCCGACGTGGGTTGGGTCAGCTGTCATCCACGCACACACAGACCTTACATCTGGCAGGGGAGACAGACAACCATCAAACAAAACAAGAGGGACTAAGCGGAGCAAAGAGAGGAACAATGGATCCCACCTGAGGAGGTGGTGTCAGAGGTGAACCTCCAGGACCAACAAAGAGCTTGCCGGGGAAAAATGGGAAAGTAGAGTGGCAGGCAGAGGGATGGTGGAGGTGGAGATGTGACCCAGCGATGGTGAGCGGCAGACCCAGCTGGTGAGTGGCAGGTGGGCTGGGCACGTAAAGAGGATGGATGGGCCAGGTTGGGAAGTGTCTTGAAATCTACAGTCTACACAGTGTTTTGGACATGAGCAGACATTCCCTCTCAGCTGCTGAATGAGTGGATAAATGGAAAAATAAATGGGGGAAAAGGGCTTTAATTTATAGCAACAATGCAGGAATGGTCAGAAGCCCCATGAAAGGCAGCAGAGCCATGCCTTAATGAATTAGAAGGGAGAGAACTTCCAGAAATACACCCTGTGGTGGGCAGGGCCTGGCTCTGGGTTATCCAAAAAAGTGGTTGTGAGGGGAAATGAGGCCCCAACTCAGCCCGCCACCCAGAGAGACTCACCTGCCAAAGGGCTCCATCCAGGACGGGGGAAAGCACATCAACATCCAGCAAGTGCTCCAAGATCCGGGTGCGAAAACCAAAGTCCTGGAGACAGTGGAGATGCAAAGGTCAACGCTGCCTCTGTCACGGTCAACACCCACCAGGCCTCTTCACTACTCCTAACTCCACTTTCCAGAAAGATGTCTACTCTGTGCCCAGCTCTGTGCCAAACATTTCAACATCTACTAATTTCATCTTCAAAATAACACCATGACTAGACAGAAAGATACGTGATAAAGCAAGTATGGTAAAATGTTAATTGTGGCCTATACGTGGTGTATATGTGGATATTCACTGTACAATTTTTTTATTGTTCCATATGTTTGAAATTTTTCGTAATAAAAACTATGGGGAAAAAATAACCCTGTGAGACTAAAATTCTTACCCTCATCTCACAGATAAGCAGGTTGGAGAGCACATGTAACTCGCCCAAGGTCACACAGCTGAAAAGCAGGGGCCTGAGGGTCAGATGGGGCCCTGTACTGACTCCAAAGCCCAAGCTCTTTCCATGACACATGCTGCGAAGGATGTCGCTCTCCAGCATCTCTCCCCATCTGTGGTGCCCAACCAGGCATGAGAAGAGAGGCCAACATCCCCAGAAAACCCGTGAGCAGTTTGGCTCTTTCCAGCTCATTCCATCCCCCATTCCATATAGGTGCCCATCTAGACAATGAGGGTTAATTAGTGGTGCTTCCTGCACTGGCTTCTCTGGGACAGGCAGCAAGTGCCCACACTGGTGCCAGTTTGTTGCTGTCCTTTGGCTGCCACAGACCCACAGTCCCACCCTCTCTAAGCCTAAGATCCCGGCTGGGCTAAGTGAAGGACTGCTACCCAACGGCATGCTAATAGGGACAGTTCTGTCACATCAGCCCTGATTAATAGTGGGACGCTCAGACAAAGTCTGGTCCCGCTGTCCACAGCCTCCTCCATCCACTTCCATAGAGAAGAAAAATGCTGATGGGCACATTTCTCCACATGGGTGACTGCTTTAGAAGAGCCAGCCCCCTTGCTTCCAAGAGATCTGTGACATGGCGATTCTTCATGGACAGTTTTTGCCAACGACTTTTTGCCTTCCCTTTCTAGCTTGTGGGTTTTTCTTCTTTTTTTGGTGACATTTTCCTTTCAGTTGGAGTTCTACTTCACTGAATGCAGCTGCCATCTGTTTCCTAAGCCCATGGCTCAGTGAGGCACAAGCACACACAGCCTCCTAATTCCTCTGCACCCCCTCATATCATTACTGTTCATCCCTGACCCTCTCCCACTAATCCCTTCCCTTTAATCTGCCTCCTCCAAACAGATGGAGGATGGCTTCTAGAGGTAATGCTCTGCCAAAAAGCACCCTGAACTATTCCCCTGAAGTACAGACCTGGCAAATGAAAGCAGGACACAGCAGGCTGGGTAGAAGGTCTGGGACAAAGAAACCACGGATGCTGGCATTCCAAGACAAAGCCTTAATTTTAGAAATGAAGCCGCAGCATCCCTCCTGGCCAGAAGTTGAGGACTGGTCCTCGCCACAGCTCAGTGATCCCATAAACACAAACACACCAGTCTCTAACCTCCTAGGCTCATATAATGCTCCTGCTAGAGGTGACTCACATGATCACACAAGCAATTCACAGAATAGTAATAGTAAAAACAGTTAACATGTTATGTTATTTTATATATAACATTATTATTAATGTTTCTATGCTAACATTTTACATTCTCTGCCTCACTTTCTTCTCACAACAAACCTATAAAATAGGTAGTATTACCCTTAGTTAATGTGTTGAGAAACTGGAGCTAGATAAGACTCGAGCATGAGTTCAAAATTGTCCCCTTACAAGCTTTGTGATCCGAGGCAAATTACTTAACCCTGGAGACACAAATCCATGCTCTTCACCACCACTCTACTGCCTCATCTCAAAACTCACCAGCCCACAGAAGGACTCGGGGTCGGAAGCTATGGATTCTGAGAGCTGTGGTTCCTTCATATGTTCACTAATTTCCAATTCCTGGAGAGAGAGACACACAGAGAAATCCCTCAGCAGAGCATAAAGGGTCCTCGTCTCTACCCAGGGCATTCTGTTCAGGCCGTGGTGACAATATAGGGCTCAGGCCAAACTGAAATCCACTCTTCTGGAAAACCTAAAGGAGGCCTGTGGATCCTGCCATTCTCTCTGGACATGCGCACAGCCTAGAGACAACCACACTCTGAATCAGATCAGAAGGATTTACACAAGTAAGAAGAGCCAAGAGTAGTGGAGATAGTTAGAAAGGTGGCAGTATGAAAGTCTGATGCTATCCTAAAAATCAGAAGGAGAGCATGTTTCCCAGAAAATAGATTAAAGCTTTTTTTTTCCCAAGACAGTCTCACTTTGTCCCTCAGGGTGGGGTGCAGTGGCGTCATCTCAGCTCACTGCAGCCTCCACCTCCTAGGTTCAAGTGGTTCTCCTGCCTCAGCCTCCCAAGTAGCTGGGATTATAGGTACGCATCACCATGCCCAGCTAATTTTTATATTTTTAGTAGAGACGGGGTTTCACCATGTTGGCCAGTGGTCTCAAACGCCTGACCTCAAGTCATCCACCTACCTGGGCCTCCCAAAGTGCTGGGATTACAGGCATGAGCCACCATGCCCAGTCAATAAAAGCTCTTTAAATGAATTCCCTCACTATCTACCTGGAGGAGGAACAGGACTAAGGGTTGAAAAGTCTAAAATGCCAAAGGATCTCCCCATTCAGACTTGCTTCTGTCCATTTTGGTCATTGGCCTGGTCTTGCCAAAACAACCACTCCCATGTCTTGGGATAGTTCAGGAAGAGCCACAAAAATGGACGAGAAGAGTCTTCTTGTCACCTAATCTACCTGTGCTGGGGTAGAACACTCCCAAATGTACCTATCGCCCCCCGACCACCACCGCCCCCCGACCTCACTACAACATACAACGTTCTCTCTCTATAGGAACTCCAACTGCTGCATCCATGACTGCCCCAAACTTCTTGTACTTGTCAAGAAGTCCAAGGGGAGCCAGGATCAGTGGCTCATGCCTGTAATCCCAGCAGTTTGGGAGGCTGAGGCAGACGGATAGAAGGTGAGCTCAGGAGTTCAAGATCAACCTGGGCAACATGACAAAACCCCATCTCTACCAAAAATAAACAAATTAGCCAGGTGTGGTGGTGCATGCCTGTGGTCCCAGCTACTCGGGAGGGTAAGCACAAGAATCGCTTGAACCTGGGAGGCAGAGGTTGCAGTGAGCCAAGACTGCACCACTGTACCAAGCTGGGGTAAAGGACCGACACTCTGTCTCAAAAAAAAAAAAACAGAAAAGACACCCAAACTATGATGAGGTGGCCAGATCACTTGAGCTCAGGAGTTAGAGATCAGCCTGGGCAACATGGCAAAACCCTGTCTCTACAAAAAATACAAAAATTAGCCGAGCGTGGTGACACGTCTGTGGTCTCAGCAACCCGAGAGGCTGAGGTAATGCTCTGCCAAAAAGCACCCTGAACTATGATGAAGCAGGAGGACTGTTTGAGTCCTGGAGGTCAAGGCTGCAGTGAGCCAAGATCACACCACTGCACTCCAAGCCTGGGCTACAGAGTGAGACCCTGTCTCAAAAATAAAACAGAAAAAAATATGTACAAGAGGGAGGTAAGAAGCACGAGAGGAAGGAAGTAGGAGAAAAGAAAATGAACATTCCAGGAGGGTGCCAATGGAAAAGCAAATTTCTGCTCTCAATTTGGAGTGCCAGCAGGTTTGCAGCTTTATTCAGGATTTTACTGCCTGCTGGGTCTCGGCATATTTGTCACAATTAAGGGCTCTGGCTGATGCTGACAGCCCAGTGAAGGGACTGCAAATGAAGCTCCTGACTCAGTAATAAAGATGTGGGGATAGGACCCTGCCCAAGGCTGAACAGAGCAGCAGAGGGCCACAGCCGGCCCCTGCCTATGGGACACGGTGACTTACTTGGCTGGCGTCTGAACTGCCCTCTTCCAGAGCAGAAGCTGTCTTCTTTGGCTCCTTGGCTGCCTCTTCCCTCCTGCAACCCTCCTCTCCTGCATCTACTGTCTCCTCTGGTGCCTCCTTTTCAGAGGCTTTGGCAGGCTCATCACCTGTAGGGTCCACCTTAGGGGTCACCAGATTCCTGGAAGCCTCAGGTTCACTCTTCTCATTTTCCTCTTTTTCTGGAATTCCAGGTCTTGCCCCACTTCCCTGTCGCCCTTTGCCATCAGCACTGCTCAGACTGCTATCTGCACCTGGGCTGGAGGGCTTGCAGGGAGTAGGGGGACCAGCAGCATCTGAATCCAGAGAAACATCTCTCTTCTCTGGCTGGCTTGTTCTCAGAGACTCCTAGGAAACAACAGACCATGTTAGAAAGGAAGACATAAGGAACGTGCAAAAGGAGTTGAGACGCGGTACCAGACGGAAATGCTATTCCGTGATTCCCACAGGCCTGAGCTTGAGTTCTTACCCAGTAATTGTCCAACGCCCAGTTTTTAAATTTATTTTTTTTTTATTTTTATTTATTTATTTATTTTTTTGAGACAGAGTCTCACTCTGTTGCCCAGGCTGGAGTGCAGTGGCACAATCTCAGTTCACTGCAACCTCTGCCTCCAGGGTCAAGTGATTCTCGTGCCTCCGCCTCCTGAGCAGCTAGGACTATAGGTGTGTACCACCACACCTGGCTATTTTTTGTATTTTTAGTAGAGACAGGGTTTTGCCATGCTTGGTTTTGCCAGGCTGGCCTCAAACTCCTGGCCTCAAGCAATTCACGTGCCTCAGCCTCCAAAAATGCTGGGATTACAGGCGTAAGCCACCATGCCCAGCCCACTCTGCTCTTTAAAACACAGATTCCTGACTCCAACCTAGATCTACAGAATTGGAATTTATATAGTGATTTGGACCCACACTGATCCCCATCCACTGGAGGGCCTGGAAGTCACTGCACCGGATGATACAACTCTGTCACCACCTATCATCTCCTCAAGTAATAAATCTGTCTCGCTCCAGCCCTATTAGCCACATCATAAGACTGCAACTCAAAAGCCAATATTTATTTAAGATGATGATGGATCATCACATGAGAGAAAGGCAGCAAATTCTCAAATTTCTATTTTTCATGTTTAATAGACAGCAGGGGAAAAACTAACAGGACAGTGCTCTTCGTCCCTAAAGCCTCCCAGGTACACACAGATCAGCCTCAGAGATAGCAGCCTCACCAAGCACTGCTGACTTGGGTCCTCTGAGAAGCAGATGACAAGGTAGGGTTAGATGCGTGAGAGATTTACGGCAGATGTCTATAAAGGATAAAGGAAGTAGGCAGAGCCTCCAGACTTTCTCCAGCTCTGAGAAAGTCTTGGCCAGCCCAGCAGAGTCACCAATCAGGCGTCCCATATCTGCAGAAATGGCTCTGCTTTCAGACCCCTGTTGTTCCCCATCACCAGTAGAAAACACAGCCTTCCATGAAGCAAGGAGGATAGAAAGGGTGACTGGAGGCTGTCAATCTCTACTAACCTCCCCTTGGCAGGGTCTCTGGAAAGGAGATCTGAGCAGTGCATCCCTACAGTGGCCACGCCCTGCTTCTTACACACAAACCTCACTTTAAAGACCAGTAAAAACCTAAGGCTGCTTCCACTAAATTCCTTAGAGTCAGTCAAAAGAGAAAAAGAAAACCCTCCCTTGGAAATACAGCCAGTGATCTCTACTGGGCTTGGGCTGAGAAGCCTTCCTCTCAGAAAGCATCTATGCTGATACTTGGGCTGCCAGACTGAATAACTTCTGATGAGAAATTTTTAAGGCTTCCTGATTCCCTGTTCTGAAGACTCAAGGACCATGATGACTAGAGAGTGGAGAGGTCCAACAACAAGCCCTAAGCATGGCATTTATTGATGCTTTGTTACGGTGTCTGCTGTGCCCACAGAAATTACCCTCTGCCTGCAAGCCTGACAGTCTACTGAGAAGCTAACCCAGGCTTCCTATGGATGATTAAGCAGGTCAGTAAAGCAGAGTCACTCAGAGCTCAGCTTTGGAGACAGAGGCTGCCCGGGCTCAAATTTCGGTTCCACGCTTAACAGATGTGTGACCTTAAGCAAATTACTTATGTCTATGAATGTGCCTCAGTTTCTTTCAATAAAATACTGGGATGTAGTAGTGCCTACCTCATAGGGAGTGTTGTTGGGAAGACTAAGTGAGTTAGCACTCATCAACTGAGTTAAGGAACTCAGAATTGTGAATGGCACACTGCCAATGTCCCATGAATGTTAACTTATGTTATGTAATGAGACTTACACATTCATTCACTGAGCACATTCTATGTGCCAAACACTGCCTTGGGAATCCAAATACGGCCAAGACATAGATCCTGCCCTTGACGAACTGAGCTAATATTGAGAAAAGTGAAATGTTCCCAAAGGTTTTGGTTATGAGCCTTGACTGCCCAAAGCAAAGAGGCCACTAGACACAGTGGTGATACTGTCACCAGGCCCAAGCCTGTCCCTGAAAGAAGAGCAGAAAGGGAAGTAAAGAAGGCATGAAGGAAGCTCATGTCTTGGCAGCATGCATGCAGGTAGCCACCAGTGCTGCCCCTCCCAGCATCCCTAACCTCCAGCATGGAATAAAGCTGCCAGGAACACTGGGCTTAGAGAAGGAAGAAAAACTTCTCTTCAAGTGAAGCAGCTTCAGGCTGAGCCTAATGGCCTTTTTTGTCTCTATACCACCAAATGTCTGTGGGTTTCTGAGGACTCCAAGAATGAGGTGAGAGTTGCCTGGGTTGGGCTAAGGGTGTCAGGACAACCACACCCCCTTACTCAGCAAGCAGGGCCAACCCTCCCTGGCCAGGCTCATCCCAAGATTAAGGAAAGGCTCCCCACAGCTTGAAGTTGCAAGTGCAACCTGGTCCTAAGAAGACTGCCTACCAGTACACCTTAGATGTGAGGACAAAGGAGGTATCAGATAAACAGTCCCTATGGCCTTCAGGATAAAGTGTATACTCCTACTTGGCCCACAGCCCTTAAGGCCCAGCTCCTGCCTGCCTCTCATGGCTCACCTCCAGCCAAACCCTCAGACACTCTCTCCCCCCACCTGTGGATAAACATCACACTAGTTCACTACTTTGCCATGCAATTCCTAAAGCACACATACACACACAATACCCCGACACACTCCCACTGGTCCTCACCGCATCACCTCTTACAGGATGCCTTCCTTAATCCCTGGGTCAGCTGACCTGAGATAAGCCTTCCTATCATCTGTCTTAATAGCTATTGTATTTGCTGATTTCCTTATCTGTTTTTGTCACCAAATTAGCTCCTCATTGTCCTCCATACCTAGTTTCCGGCACATAATAAATGCTTAGTAAAGGTTTGTTGAACGAATTGTTAAACATGAATAAGTGGGTCATGCAAAGCTAGGAGTTGAGGTTTCCCTTCCCAGCCTGCAAAAAGGAGACGTGATATTTATTTTATAAGGTTACATAGGGATTAGACTATATTTATTATAGTACTTATTAAACGAAAAATAGCTAAGCAAATGTTAGCTATTAATTAACTATTCAAGATGATGGAAAAACAAGCAACCTATCAAAAGTTCAGAGAATACAAGATACAGGTAGAGATTCCCCATCCTTGAGAAGAACAGGAAAAATAACTAATGGGTACTGGGCTTAATGCCTGGGTGATGAAATAATCTGTATAACAAACCCCCAAGACACAAGTTCACCTAGATAACAAACCTGCATGTACATCCGGAACTTAAAATAAAAATTAAAAAGAGAGAGATTCCCATTTTTACACATGAGAGGACATAGCCAAATTGTAATAATCTTAGGCCCAACTCTTATGCTTAAATTCTTCAAAAGAAAATTTTCATATGATGGGGCTCATTCTAGTCTGCCTTACCTAAAACAGTAAAACATGGGTAATATTAAAATAAATGACTTTGCATTCTCTGCACCATGTTGACTAACTACAACCACAGGACAGCACCTCGAGGGTGGGGAAGGCAAAGGGAGGCAAAGCATGTGTTGTAGATTACCCACAAATGAATGCACAAGAGCTGAGTGTCTGGAGAAGCCATCCAACTCCATGAGTATCTCCTTTCACCTAGCCCCTGACCCTTGTCTCCGGGCCCAAGGCCTGAAGCTCCAAGCAGGATACACACTCTGGGCACCCAAGTGCGTCTCCTGCCCTGGGCTCTGTGGGAAGTGAAGGCAGAGGTGGGGCCTCAGTCTCAGCAGAGCTTTGCCCTCAGCTCATCCCTGCACACACTCCTTCTGTCTCCTCCTTCCACAGCCCCAGGTCCTTGAGAATCGCAAGGCATATTTCTGCTGCTTTTTCAAAAAAGACTTTACCATCTGCATGAGGAGAGAGCAGGAGAGAGCTTGTAAGAATCATCTCATGAATATGTAGCATGCCCCCCAAAAGCCATGAGGTTCCCCTCCTTCTGCCCAGACCACAAGACAAGGACCCCTGTAATCCACAAGCACGGGGGACAGGGCATGAAGGAGGAGCTGAACCCATGTCTGTGCACTGACCCTGTTGTGCAGAGACCCCCACCAAGCTGATCATGAGTCCAATTTATTTTTCAGACTTCATTCCTGCCCAGTTGGTCTCACTTCTTTGCACAGCTCCCCAGTGTTGTTAGCACTTTCTAATCGCACTGACATCATCCTGTGATTTCTAAGCCCAACCTCCCTCCCGCTCCTTTGATCCACTGATGGGCTTTTCACCAGCACCACATGGCCACATAAAGTCTGCTCACCTACCCTACAGCCTGCTGGGTTTTGCTCACCCTGTTCAGTGTCAGTTCCATAAGCCTCTCTCTCTTCAGTCTGTAACAGACTCAAAGTCGGCTTAAGTTGGAAAGCAGGAGAGGAAGGAGACAACAGATGCATTCTTGCCATCCTACTGCCCTCTCATGGAATCATGAGCAAAGTGACTTCCCAGTGAGACAGGGTAGAACTAACCTCAGAAGTCCACTTTCATCCTAGGCTGTCTGGGACACTCAGGAGTGGGGAAAAGTGGGTAGTTCAGAGAATCCAAAGACTGTAAACTGGGACAAAAGCCATTTTCAAAGAGTAGGGCCCAAGCAGAGGCAGCATTGACTTTCCTGAAACCCCCCATTCACCCCTACCACTAATACTCCCAACAAGAAAAGCCTGATTCCTGCCTTAAGTTAGAACATAGAATCCAACACTCCATGTGACAAAAAGAACTAAATCTGCGGGGATGCTAGAGACAGGGGTAGGAGGTGTACTTAACACCACCCACTCTAGACATTTCCCCTCATCACACTGGGGTGCCTATTTATATTAAAGAGGGTATAAAAGTGTTCAAAAGTCCCCACCCCCCGCAAAGAAGCACACAGTCATCAGAAGAAAAGCTTCTAGAAATCCACCTTTCAAAGAAGAAAAAGCCTTTTTTGTTGACATTTACAATCCATTATGAAGTTAAATGTTAACTTGCCCAAGGTCAAAGTAAATCATGATCAACCCATATCAGGTTCTTCAATCCACCAGCTGACAGCAGGGACCAAGTACCCACTCTACCCAAAACCTGGGAAAGCCAAGAGAAGAAAAAATACGACACAACCTGCCCAGACACTCTCTCTGTGCCGGCATGGCTCATTCACTTATTCACAAATTCATTCTCTGGACTGTTGAACGAAACACACCCAGTGCTTCCTATGTTTCAGAGGGAGTGGGATAGCTGCTGCCTGGGCATACAGAAATGAATAGGGCAGAATCTCCAGCCTCAATATGCTCATTCTCATAGAGATTATCAAGCAAGTAAGTCCTCCTGACACCCCTAGTCCTATACATGGTCAACCTTCTAGGCATAAAGCCTGAGCATCTCCTTTGATTCCATCAATATAGGTCTTACTGGTGGTGAAGAAAAGAAAATTGTCATTTCAGGGAACCAAATAGTCTGAAGGCTTTAGACTTAATCCTTCCAGACCAGGCCCCACTCAGAAGGAACAGTTTCAAAGCAGACATATATTAGCTTGATAATAAAGATAGGACACTTAGGAAAAAAGGTCACATTTGACAAGAAATAGTGAAGTCATAATCAAAACATATCTGACTGCGCACAGCCAAAATGCTGAACGGTTTCTGAGATAACAGGTAAAGTCTAACTACAAAAAGAATGCTAGGCTGGGCACAGTGGCTCACACCTGTAATCCCTGTAATCCTTTGGGAGGCCAAGGCAGATGGATCACTTAAGCCCAGGAGTTCGAGACTAGCAAGGACAACACAGCAAAACCCTGTCTCTACAAAAAATACAAATAATAGCTGGTGTGGTGGCAGGCACCTGTGGTCACAACTACTTGGGAGGCTGACATGCACTCCAGCCTGTGCAACAGGATGAGATCCAGTCTCAAAAAAAGAAAAAAAAAAAAAAAATCCCTGTCCAAGGGCTAGACTTGGGTCACCCACAACTCAGGTCTCAAGAACCAAATCAGGAGCTTTTGGCCAGCATCGGAAACCTCAGGTGGCCCGAGACATTAATCCTGGCTCTTAAGGCAAGGTGATTTCTAAGAAACAAGTCAGAAATAATAAGAGATAATGAGAAAACAAATTTAAATCCAGGATATAAGCAATTCTGTTTTACTGGCCAGTTCTGTGATCATTCTAATAAAGTGTCAGTGACTTGTTTGATGTTAAAGTATTCAAAGTATTTAAAAGAACTTGGTATATTAGACTTGTAAAAAGTTTAACTTATTGAGCCTGCAACCAATATTTAAGTGTTTGGAGAAATCTAATTGGTGAGTTCATGATTAATTAGTTGTATAAATACTTTGGGAATATTTAGAGAAATGTTATATTTAAATTAACAAATTGGACACTAAACAAAGGATACATGGTAGACAAAGCTCCTTTCTAAGTATAAAACACATTGCTGGGCACAATGGCTCACACCTGTAATTCCAGCATTTTGAAAGATCAAGATGGAAGGACTGCTTGAGGCCGAAGTTTGAGACCAGTCTGGTCAATAGAGAGACCTTGTATTTGCAAAAATTTAAAAAGTAGCCAGGCATGGGGGCACATGCCTGTAAGTCCTAACTACTCAGGAGGCTGAGGCAGAGGACCACTTGAACCCAGGAGTTCAAGGTTTTAGGTATTACGATAATATAATGAGTGTTGACGTTCGTTTGTTTAGAGGCAGGGTCTAGAAGGGACAGGAATCTATGCATTTATTCTTGTCCTTCCCCCAAACTCCGGATATCCCATCTGGACAGGACTGGGACAAAATGGTTATTTTTCCAAATATCCATCCCACATAGTAGGGGGCCTTAATTAAAAAAAAAAAAAAAAAAAAAAAAAAGAAGGGATATGCCAGGCTGACACATTTGCCTGTAGGGATTAGAGCTCTTACCTCATATTCAAAGTCACCCCCCAGTGCCCCAATGTCCAGGTGTAGGTTCTTAAGAGGCTCACTTGAGCTGTGGACACTCTAGAAACAAAAATGATGACATGTGGTAAGTATAAGGAAACTGGTCAACCCAGGGTGAGAGGTTTGCAGAGGGAAAAATAGGGCACTGCTAAGCTGCAGGTGGGCCCAGGCAGGGCTTCAGACGACTGAGAGCAGGACCACCACCGAGGCTGCCTCACTAAATGGTTTTCCATCCAGCACAAACTATGCTGTGCACCAAGCAAGTAGCCAAGGTGCTCTCTGCTGGCTGTACTTTCTGGATCAGATCTAGAAGGATAATAGACTGCTTGAGAAATGAAGCTGTGGGCCAAAAAAACCATTCTTGCTTTTTTAAAAAGTAGCACAGAGACTGCCGAAGGTGGAAACAACTCATATATTCATCAACAGATGAGTAAATAAACAAAATGTAGCATATCCATACCATGGAATATTATTCAGCCTTAAAAAGGACCAAAGTTCTAATACATGCTTGTATTAGATACATAGATGACCCTTGAAACATTATGCTAAGTGAAATAAGCCAGATACAATAAGACAAATAGTGTATAATTCCACTTACAGGAGGTACCTAGAATAGGTAAATTCATAGACACAGAAAGCAGATTAGGTTTCCAGGGGCTGGAGGGAAAGGGAATAGGAAGTTATTGCTCAATAGGTACAGAACTGTTATTTGGGATGATGAACAAGTTCTAGAAATGAATAGTGGGAAGAGGGGGAATGCCAAAAAAAAAAAAAAAGAAAAGAAATGGATAGTGGTGATGGGTGCACAACATTGTGAATTAATACCACTGAATTTTACCTTTCACAAGGTTAAAAGGGTAAATTTTATGCTACATATTTTTTTAATCACAGTAAAAAAAATTTCAAAAGGAAAAAATATTGCATGGAGGGTTTCCAGGCCAGGGAGAGGACTTCATCATTACCTGGTTGTCACTTTCCTCCTCATCCTCCTCATTGGTTTCTTCTCCTAAAGCCAAGAGGCTAAGAGCATTCTTGTCTTCACTTATGGAGCCCAAGAGACCCTTTGCAGAAGCAGAGGTCTTGAGACCCTGTGAAGGCTTCAAAATAGAGACGGACAGTCAAAGGACTCACTTGGAAGACCTTTGGAATGACTTTTAGAATGCTCCTTCCCATTCTCTATGTCCGTGTCTCCTAGATCAAGCCCCAACACATCCATGAAGCTGACCTGGCAACTCCAGTTCACACCAATGACTCCCTTGGGCCACTCCTACTGCCTTGGCTGCATAGACTGGGAAATCAGCACTGATGTCCCTACAGCATGGGTCTATCCTCCACAGCCCAGAGTCTGCATTCATACCGGTGTGAATTACATTTTCCCAACTAGATTATGAACCCTGAGGACTCCACCAATTCCCTCTATTTCTCACCCCTAGGCCATGGTTCCTAGTATGGCACATCGGGGGGCACTCATAGGAACTAAATACACTGAACACAAGAGAAAGTACTGACCAGCACAAGTTCTCCAAGCTGACGTCCAGACTCCACTGAGCTCCCCAGGCTCACGCTTTGAGATCCACGAAGAGCAGAGGGTGGGGTATCCACAAGGCCTCGCAACGGAGCCAGTCCCCCAAGAGGAACATGAACTGGGGCTAACGAGGAACCCAGGGCCTGGGCAACAGAAAACATCTTGTTACAACCCAAGAAACCGTGTGACTCTGAGTGTGTTAGAGACAGACATAAAAATAAAACACCTAAATCCTGCACACTCAAATTTAAACCACCTCCGCTCAGAGGCTGCTAATGAAACACAACATCCAGAAATTACCATTGTGCCAACTATGTGAGAAATCACAGCCTGGTTTCCTGATTCTCATAACTCTCATGCTGTCTCACAGTAAACAGTTCTTTTACATCTGGCAGATGCAGCATGGGGTTCTGCTCTCCTTTCAGAAGCCAAATAGGAGGCTGGGCGTGGTGGCTCACACCTGTAATCCCAGCACTTTGGGAGGCCAAGGCAAGCAGATCACGAGGTCAGGAATTCAAGACCAGCCTGGCCAATATAGTGAAATTCCATTTCTACCAAAAAATACAAAAATTAGGGCTGGGCACAGTGGCTTACACCTGTAATTCCAGCACTTTGGGAGGCCAAAGTGGGCAGATCACGAGGTCAGGAGATCGAAACCATCCTGCCCAACACGGTGCTACCCATTCTCTACTAAAAAATACAAAAAATTAGCCGAGCATGGTAGTACACGCCTGTAGTTCCAGCTACTCAGGATGCTGAGGCAGGAGAATCGCTTGAACTCAGGAGGCGGAGGCTGTAGTAAGCCAAGATTGCACCACTGCACTTCAGCCTAGGGGACAGAGCAAGACTCAGTCTCAAAATATATATATATATAAATTAGCCAGGCATGGTGGCACACACCTGTAATCCCAGCTACTCGGGAGGCTGAGGCAAGAGAATCACTTGAATCAGGAGGCGGAGGTTGCAGTGAGCTGAGATCATGCCACTGCACTCCAGCCTGGGTGACAGAGAAAGATTTTTATTTTCTAAAAATAAAAATAAAACCCATATAGGAAGGATGCAGGAGTGGAAAGCAGAGACAAATCTGCATCTACCAGAAAGAGAAGTCTCAATTAAAGATGTAGTTTAAAATTTATGAATCAAGAAAAAGTGGTCTAAGTGTATTCTTTACAAAGATGGAAGTAAACACAACAGAGTCACCGCCTTGGAGGAGGGCTCTGTATAGTGAAGTGCTATACTTTCGTATATGCCTTTTAGTACTATTTGACTTTTTTTTTTTTTAAAAAACTATGGGCATGCCTGTACGATTTGCTCTGTTTAAATCTAAGGTCAAGGCATAGTGGCTCACATCTGTAATCCCAGCACTTTGGGAAGCCAATGTGGGAAGATCACTTAAGGCCAGGGGTTCAAGATCAGCCTGGGCAACACAGCAAGACCCCATTTCTACAAAAATATTTTAAAGACTAGCCAGATGTGATAGCTAGCACTTGTAGTCCCAGCTACTTAGGAGGCCGAGGAGGAAGGATTGCTTGATCCCAGGAGCTGAAGGCTACAGTGAGCTATGATGGCACCACTGCACTCCAGTCTGGGTAACAGAGCAAGATCCTATCTCAGGCCAGCCTAGGCAACACAGTGAGACCCTGTCTCTATAAAAAATTAAAAAATTAGCTGGATGTGGCAACACATGCCTGTGGTCCTAGCTACTTGGGAGACTAAGGCAGCAAGCTCAGTTAAGCCCAGGACTTCAAGGTTACAGTGCAATATAACCACTGGGAGATAATAACCACTGCACTCCAGCCTGGGAGACAGAGCAAGAAGACCCTGTCTCTATAAACTAAAAGCAACCCTGTCTGGAAAAAAAAAAAAAAGTCAACACTAACTACAAAAAGTTACACATGAGCAACAAAAGAAGGACTCTCTTCCCTCTCCACTGATAAGGTGGCTGAAAGGAGCCTTGCCAAAGGGCAGTAGTGGGACTGACCAGGTCCCTTCTTTTCTCTGTTCTCCTTCCTGCAAGCAAGGGCTGAGGAAAGAAATCAGGCTGCGAATCAGAATTTGTGAGACTTCCAGCTACTCACAGACTCTCCGATTCTCAGTTTATTCATCTGCAAGATGGAGATGATATGTGCCTTGCCACCTGACTAGGTGTGCCGAGAAGCTCAAGGAGATAAGTGTTAGGGGCCTTTATGAGTGACCCAAGGCTGCACCAACATTATAAAATTGCTATCGTCACAGGGATTCACATTACTATAATCTAGGCTTATCAGAAGCAATCTGGTGATAATTTACAAAGAGCTCTTCAAAATTCATTTCTCAAACTTAAAATGTCTCAGATGACATGAAAATTCCAATCCTCCCTAATCCCACAAGGACTGAAGAGAGAAAAGGAAACCCAGAGACGGTCATGCTGAGATTGACTAGATCCATCTTCTTGCCTATAGCCTCAGTCTAGGGGCCAGACCAGCTGGTGGGTTCCCAGCAGGGCCCATTTCTGCATCAGATGCTCACCAGGAAAGCAAGGTGAGAACCACTCCTGAGCTTCTGCAGGTCCACAATCATCTCGCCTGTTGTAGAATATCTTTGTTAAGGAGAAAAGGAACTGATAATAACCATAACCTGGCCAGCAGTGCACTGGTTAAACACTTTCCATGCGATGTCTCATTTTATTCTCACAGCCCCTGAGAATGGCTCTGCCATTATCTAGTCCCCATATGAGCAAACGGAGGAAGTCAAGAACCCTGCCCAGGGTGGGCATGGTAGCCCACCCCTGCAATCCCAACACTTTGCGAGGCTGAGGCAGGCAGATTACCTAAGGTCAGGAGTTCAAGACCAGCCTGGTCAATATGGTAAAACCCTGTCTCTAAAGAAAAAAATACAAAAATGAGCCAGACATGGTGATGAGTGCCTGTAATCCCAACTACTGAGGAGACTGAGGCAGGAGAATCACTTGAACCCAGGAGACGGAGGTTGCAGTGAGGTGAGATCATGCCACTGCACTCCAGCCTGGGTTATAGAGTAAGACCCTGTCTCAAAAAAAAAAAAAAAAAAAACACCCTGCCCAAAGTCACAGAGACAGTGAGAGGTAGAGATGGGATTGGAACCGAAGGCTATCACTAAGACAGTATTTTATACCAGCTCTGGTTGTGGCAGAATAAAGAGCCTAGGACATGGTGGCTCACACCTATAACCCCAGTACTCTGGGAAGCCGAGGCAAAAGGATCACTTTAGGCCAGGAATTCAAGAATGGCCTGGGCAACATAGTGAAACCCCATGTCTACAAAAAAAAAAAAAATTTTTAACTAGCTGGGTATAATTGTAGACACCTATAATTCCAGCAATTCGGGAGGATGGCTTGAGCCCAGGAGCTCAAGGCTGCAGGGAGCTACTATCACACCACTGACTCCAGCATGGATAACAGAGCAAAACTCTGGTCTCTTATTTAAAAAAAAAGGAAAAAAAAAGAAAAGAAAAAAAGTCAGGGGAAAAAGGCCCAGGAAAGCTTCTTCAAGGTAAACTGAACAAAGCAGGCATGCTCCTCCTGATTTCAGCCCTTCCAGCCAGCCCATGTATCAGCAAGCAAAATTCTCCCCACACTGTATTTATGGAAAATTACAGACTCCTAACACGGCTAATTTGCTAACATGCTGGGGGCTTGAGGGAGGGAGACAAGCATGCTGAGGGCTTTGTTCTCCCAGGCCTTTACCAAATCAGTGGTTAGCAGGGAAATTATACATTCCTGGCTCCTCGCTGATCATCTTCTATAGATGGCCATTAACTCTGAGTATGGGGCTATGCGTGCAGTTGTCCTTCAGAGCCGATACACTTACTGCCATTGGGCTAATTAAAACTTTCAGGATAATCTGCAGCTTATCTGATATTTATAGTTCTACAGTACTTATTAAAGCTAACAGAGAACCAGTGCAAGCCAGCAATTAGGAAGCAGAGGGAACAACTGGGAACAACTGGGTAAAGCCACAGCTGGGCAACAGCAAAAGAATAGCTGGAGAAATTCAGACTGATCCCCATGGTCTCTGATCTAACTTGACTTCTGAATGAAGAATATGGTGACTCTTTAAAGGGCCAAAGGTAGAATGATAGGGCAAGGCCAGCCATTTGATAAATCCCAGTAGGAGAGGAAGTGGAAGCCAAGAGTGAAGTCACAAATATGGTCTGCACAACCCTGACACAGGTTATCCATGTGGTTTTCTGGGGACCCTAGGAGGCAAAGAGCAGAAGCAGCTCACTGGATGACAGAGAGAGTTTCTGGCCTCCATCTCTCAAAAGAATATTAGCTCTCACTTGGGTGCAGTGGCTCACGCCTGTAATCCCAGCACTTTGGGAAGCTGAGGTGGGCAGATCACAAGGTTAAGACATCAAGACCATCCTGGCTAACATGGTGAAACCCCATCTCTACTAAAACACAAAAAAAATTAGCCAGTCACAGTGGTGCTCGCCTGTAGTCCCAGCCACTCGGGAGGCTGAGTCAAGGGAATCGCTAGAACACCCGGGAGGTGGAGCTTGCAGTGAGCAGAGATCACACCACTGCACTTCCAGCCTGGTGAAAGAGCAAGACTCCATCTCAAAAAAAAAAAAAAAAAAAGTTAGCTCTCAGGCCAGGCACAGCAGCTCACACCTGTAATCCCAACATTTTGGGAGACTGAAATAGGCAGATCACTTGAGGCCAGGAGTTTGAGACCAGCCTGGCCAACATGGCAAACTCCATCTCTACCAAAAAGACAAAAGTTAGCCAGGTGTGCTGACACACACCTGTAGTCCCAGCTACTCAGCAGGCTGAGTCACAAGAATCACCTGAAGCCGGAAGGTGGAGGTTGCAATGAGCCAAGATAGTGCCACTGCACTCCAGCCTGGGCAACAGAGCAAGATAGTCTCAAAAAAAAAAAAAAAAAAAAAAAGAATATTAACTCTCTAATCAGGTACAGTGGCTCATATCTATAATCCCAGCACTTGGGGAGGCCAAGACAGGTGGATCACTTGAGGCCAGGAGTTCAAGACCAGCCTGGCCAATGCAGCGAAACCCCATTTCTACTAAAAGCACAAAAAAATTAGCTGGGCATGGTGGCAAGCACCTGTAATCCCAGTTACTCGAGAGGCTGAGACACGAAAATCACTTGAACTTGGGATT